TTGAAATGCCAGATGCGAATCATCAATATGTATCCACCGAAGTACATCATGTACTGGTGAGTGGTTCCCCGTCAGACTAGAAGAGCATAGGTCAGGTAGTACGCGGTCGCCATTAGCCGTGAAGAACAGCAGATGTCGAATTTCCATGCTCGGTTCGTGCTAGAAGAGCTGGTGGAGTGCCACCGAATTGAAATGTGAAGCAGGATTCAGGTCTGTCAACGTCCACGTCGTACCCCAATTGGAGCCACGGTCGAGCAAAAGTTGTCCACAGAAGTTTCGCCCTTGGACAGTCCCAGAAAATATGCCCGAGCGTAATGTACTTTGCTCCGATACATGAATTATGGGGGCATCCCCAATGCCCTTGGGTTCGGTCAAACCGACTGAGCCCATGCGTTTTGATCCGATAAATTAGGCGCTCACCCCATGCGTCCAGGCCTATCCAACGACGAATATGTTTCCACGTCACCGATTCGAGTCCCTTGTACAAGGCTCCGTGAACAGTCTGCCACCGTTCCGTCCTCTCTTGTAAACATTTCTTGCCCGCCATGTCCCGGTGTTGGCGAATACGCAGTTTAAACGTCCTCCGAGTACATGTCGATCGTCTTTTACCTGCCCACAGGCAAGCCAAACGGTCCAAATGGGAGTGTGGGTGTAAGTCCGTAATGAGTGCTGTCGACCCAATCGAGACCTGGACAGCTCGTAATAACGCCTGCCGCGATAGAACTGGAAAGTAGCGCTGCTCCGTTTCGCCGACGATGGTCAGCTTGGCCATCTTCGGCTCAGTAGGCTCGATACGGAGTTCGTATGGATGGTCCGTGCACGAAGTCACTAGTCGCACCTCCTCCTTATGAGTCGATACAAAAGCAATTCCAGAGAAATTCAACAGGAGCAACCAGATAAACTGGTTGAGCAGGCGTCGAAACGTGAGAGACGGCTTACTGACTGGGCATCCAGCTTTCATCACTTGAAATGCCAGATGCGAATCATCAATATGTATCCACCGAAGTACATCATGTACTGGTGAGTGGTTCCCCGTCAGACTAGAAGAGCATAGGTTAGGTAGTACGCGGTCGCCATTAGCCGTGAAGAACAGCAGATGTCGAATTTCCATGCTGTGTAACCATTCCGCCCAGAAATCACCATACTCCTCTCGCTGCCATTTACGAAAACTGACATAGTTCTCGTCTCTAAGCGTTCGTACATCCACAATGCATGTGGCAGTCGTCCAACCATCTTCACTAGGAATGATATCCACTAGGGTTCGTTGAAGTGTTGCTGTTAGAGCCTTGTCGGGTGCTCGAGGTGAAGGGAGTCTTACCATAGTCAGCAACCGATAGCCGGCATGCCATAATGAAGGCGGAAATGAACCGCGGGTCGGATCTGAATCTCCCAACCCCACCGTAATGTAACCGCTGGGATCTAGATGGTGGCCAGTCTTTCCGATGACGAAGCCAACAAGCAACATAGTCGCATCACTTGATAACGCCCAACGAGCGAGTTCAGTTCCAGCCATCGCCAGTAGTTCCAGTCTGACATCAGGTAGCGCCAATCCGCCATCTTCCCTGGGAAGCGCTGCGATCTTAGGTGAAATCCACGCTCTCTTGAATAGTGCCTTATCCGTAAACTGACCGTGCCATACGAAATTATGCACGTAGCGTTGGAGCGTTTTGACCCAGGCTGACCTGGGCCAAATATGACGAGCAACGAAAGTAAACTTGGGGATAATAACCGCAGCGGCTACTGTAGCCCGTTGATCTTCAGTCGTCGTTTTCAGCGAGGCCAATCGCCAGGTGGTGGTGAGCTGGGCTATTGTTTTGGTCCAAGCGTGCTCCGTCGCAGTCTGACTGCCGACTTGCGCGCCCAAGTAACGGCCGAACATGTCCTTCCCTTGAAATTGCAATCGTCCTGGTAACTGCATCGATTTTCTGGGGCCGTCTGAGTGTAAGGCAATGACCACCGTTTTGTGCTCGTTAACATGAAGCCCACTTGCCCTGCTAAATTCTGCAGTCAAATTCAAAAGTGCAGGTACTTCCTTGGTCGATGCTAAATATGTAGCCGTCTCGTCCGCATATCCACCAACTCGCAATTCCATTTGCCGGTCCGCCGACTTCAACACAACTCCACGAAGCAGTGGTGAGCGTTCAAGAGCACGATAGTACGGGTCCAGCGCTAAAATAAAAAGGAGAGGTGCCAGGGGACATCCCTGCCGAATGCCTGTAGATACCGTAACCCACCTTGATCGTTCACCGTTCACTAAGAAACGGACTCGGGTGTGCTGGTGTAACGAGGCTACCGCGTCCACAAATTGCCGAGGATATCCATGAGCAGCAAGAGCACGGAGAAGGTATTCACGCCCCAACGAGTCGTACGCCTTTTGGAAGTCTAGCATAAGGACGAGGGCTTCTCTTTGCGTGTTATCCGTGTTTGCCATCACTTGAGCCGCTGCGAATAGGTCAATTGTATCGTGTAATTGTCGACCGGGGACAAAACCATTTTGATTCCCATGAATCCTATCAGGAAGTGGTTTACAAACTCGAGTTGCTAGGATGCGCGTGAAAATCTTGTAGTCGGAGTTGAGAAGTGCGAGCGGTCTGTAGTTAAGCGGGTTCGACTGATCTCCGCTCTTCTTAAACCAAAAGATGTCCGCCTCCGAAAATGAAGGAGGGAAGACACCGGCCGTGTACCACAAGTTGAACAAAATAGTGAGTACGGGAACTAACTTGGCGCGGAAATCGATGTACCAATCATTGCCAAGTGTGTCAGGACCGCATGCCTTTCCAGCGGCGCATTCATCAATTGCAGCAGCTACTTCAGCTTCAGAAATATCCGCCGCAACGGCGCGTTGAAGTTCGTCAGTAAAGCTGTTGTCAGCCGTCCACCGCAGCGCATCGTCGATAGGATCAGCAGGTGTCTGGTTGAAAATGGGGGACCAGGCATCTGCGAAAATATTCGCTTTGTCATGAATGTCACGAGCTGGCGCTCTAGTATCCGGAACCAAAGTTGGGACAGAATTATCCGTGAACTTTGTAGATGTAGAACGAAAAATGGTGTGCGTAGTCTTGCCGTCGTGCCAAGCGTGGTCGCGCATACGCCGCTTCATCCTCTGCTTACCGCGTTCAGCCTGGAGCTCCGATATTGCCTGACGATTTTTTTCCAGTCGACAGGTGCTGGCAGCGTCCCGGATGGACATCGCATCTAGTCGTGCGGTGATGTCGTCAATTGCATCCTCACGGGGAGTGTCAGCTGCAAGCGCAGCGCGTTGCTGGCGTAATAGTCGTGCCAGCTTCTGCCGATAAGTGCGAGTGAGCCGCCGTCGTGCTTGACGGGCACACCGTCGCAGTCCAGTATAGGCCCTTTGTTTCATGACTTCCCAGCTTCGTCAGCATTCGGTTGCTCATCTCGTAGTCGATCGTATAGTCCATCGAGAATCCCATGTATACAGGCATCAGCCGTACTCTTGGCATAGCTAGGGACCGGATGCGTACGCTTGGGTCGCTTGACTCGGAGCATCATGATCAGCGTTAGCTGCTGGAGCAACGACTTCAACTGCGGCCACCCACAGACTAACAGACGCAGTGCCATACCAGCGATCCAGTCTACACGTTTCAGGTTCTCCGTCCACCTTGTACGTGTAAGTGTGGTATTTCTGCTGAAACATCCTCACTCGTGCGTAATCGTCACCCGCCGGTGTGAACAATGCTAAGCAGTCACAGGCGCTCCATGTTGCGAGAAGATGTCTAAGCGCGGGCGAGTCGTGCGAGTTAGAGCGAGAAGTGTACGTACGATCAAGTACCCCCATCGAGTGTGCAGTTGAAATCTCCCCCGAGCAGGATTCTGCCATGCTCTGGTCGCTCCAACTCTAGTAAACTGCTGAAAAGCTGTTCCCTCGGGCCGTGATCTATAGGAGCATAAACATTTGCAACCACAATATCCAAACCGTCTAATTGACCCACAACCGCGACAAATTGAGGAGACCAAACATGTTGCCAATATGGTCGAACATTTTGGTAGGCTCCGAAGGGGTTGATCAGTATGCCCACACCTCCTTTTCCATCTTCCGCTGCACCCCAGTAAGAGTAAACAGGACAACCTTCACCGACACGAAACCCCCAACGCGCAGCGTGTTCACGCCGCGCTTCCTCGATCTCTGACGTGTGCACATGTGTCTCTTGCAGTACTGCGATATCTTGGTACCCGTGAGATGTTGTGCGCCCTAGAGAATTCAGCCAAGTACTGTGCGCGGCTGGCGTCGCACCAAAACCTCTCACGTTTTGAGTGATGAGGCCAAAAGTTCTGTCAGACGCGAGCATACCTCGGTCATTGTTCAACCTTGCAGAGGCTAAAGCTTTCTCTTCTCTCTTGCGAGCTTTGGCTAGCTTGCGTTTCAGCCGCTGGAACTCCTTTCGACGGCTTTTGTTAGCGGCTTGGGGAGACTGGGGCAGGAACGTGTCTCGTAATGTCGTCTGCACTAATCGTGCGGCAGACGACTGTCGGGTCTGCGGCGGCGAGACATCCGCCGAAGACCCGTGTTGGGCCGGGTGGCCCACTAGTGCGCTTGGGAGCAGTCCATGCGTTGCAGCCCAACCGCATCGCACTCTACCCAGGTTAGCCCCGATGGAGCGTGGAGTGCCATCCCCCAGTCAGCACTTGAAATAACGCTTTTGCATAGCGTGTCGAGGAAAGGATACTCATGGTGCCAAACAAGACGAGCACAGTGGGGAGTCCTTCCCATCGATGTAGCTCCCCACATCGTGAGAACGTATGGCAGCACATGGAGAAGCTTCCACTCGTCATCAGGTAATTCAACGTAGTTGTCTCTGCACAGCTCTGCTGGTAACCACTGCTTATGACGCCGCCATTCTTCCGGTGCCTCCGCATGCCGGTGCATGCTGGCCACGTTGTCACTCGAGACACAGCGGGAATGCCAGTCAGAACAGAAAACCCGAACTGCAGGTGAAGTGTTCTCATCGTGAAGAATACGAGCAATTGCAGTTGTTTGTTCAAAGTAAACTTCGGCAGATCCCCAGGAGACCAAATCTTGAATCGACCATGTTTTCGCCTCTAATTCAGGATACGGCAAGAAAGCAAACAAATGCCTGAGCACGTTGCAGTTGTTCAGGAGCCAAGGATGGAGAAAATCCACCTTTGTCTCAGTTCGCTTCATCATCGGGATTCCCAACGACTCTCGGTAAAGCGACACCCATCTACTAAACGCCTCCTGATTCGCAGCCTGCATTAACTCGCACTGAGGGCGGTCTTCCTCTCGAATAGCGTCTGTGCTGATCGCGCGTAGTAAGCGAATGTACACATCTTCAACTACTTTGCCCGAGGCGATCCGCGGGCTCCGAGACGGGAGCTGCGTGGCACCTTCTACCTTTGCGCTCGACGATTGAGAGCCGCTTGCGTACCCATCCACTCCGTAGGCTTCATGAATAATCATTTCATCAGTTGTCATTGTTGCTTCCAGCTCGCGCTCATCTAGTTCAGCTGTCGACAGCGTGGGAAACCCGAGTCGGGCAAGCACAATATCCAATCTATCTCGCATGTTCATGTTACGAAGAAGCATCGCGTTCACATTTGCATTCCTTGACAGCACATCTAGCTCTTCAAGTGCATCTCCATCTCCTGGCAGCGGTTTGTTGAGTTGAATCAGCCACTCGTACGAGGTGTCTAGCGAGTCTGCATAGTCCTGATCTCCCTCCGCAGTCCACTGCAAGAGAAGTTCGCCATGTTGTACGCCATTGAAATGGTGCTTGTCGTGATAGAGGATGAGAAATGTTGGCACCGTGTGTAGCATCCTACACTCCTCAAGGTATGCTTTCGCAGCTCTATCGTTAAGCACCTTGCCATATCCGGATTCGTGATCAGATCCGCTTGATGTACGATACGTTTTGTACATGTATATCTGTACGTGTGCATCCCCATGTTCGTCCACATCCAGCACAAACAGTGGCTCACGCATATACTGAGCCATTGCACGGAGCTCGTGAGTTCCCGCCCAAAAGCTTGATGGCACTGTTCCCGAAACAGAGCGATCTCTCTCCTCGATATAGTGGTTGAACAGACTAGCGGTGGCACTGGCAATACCGTCGCCGTGCTGGCGATTAGGATACAGCCGTCGGATCTCAGACACTGGGTCGACGAGACCTAGCTCCACATCTTTGCGAAGATTCGAAAACATGATAGTGTAGACAAATCGTTTCAATTTGTTGGCGCCTCTCGTCACCTTCGACGTTTTGGGCAACAATTGTCCATCATAATTTGTTGTCGTAGCGTGCAGCGCAAGGATGGCGCACTGTCCGTTGGCAGCCACATCCACGGGGTTTCCCTGAAAATCCTTGAGCCAAAGCGGCAAAGGAATTGGTAGATCACTATCTCCAACCTCAGTACCCGCATGCGGGGCTCCCATGGTGAACTCCTCGTCAGAGGCTGGGCTCGGCGGAAGGATCTCCGTCGAGGCCGCGGTGACAATCTCGGCCTCACTGTCAATGATAGCTTGGCTGGTGTGTACATAGTCTGCCATTGACCGCTGCACAAGTTCCGTCGACGCGGCATCTGGATTAGCAGCAGCCGCAACCGTGGGTACGTCTCTGCGAGCTTTTTTCCTTACCACAACCCGTTCTTGATCATCATCGCGCTGACGTTCTTCATGGGCAGTAGCGACCACAGCATGCTCCGGTGAAACGCCAGGAAAGTTAGTATCTACCTCCATATCGGTAGCGTGGCGTTCCCCCGTCGAATCCGCATACGCGTATGGGGCCTCGTCGTCGTCATGATGGTGCACTTCAGAATCCGATATATCAATGTCGTCGTCTACACTGTCGTCCTCAACACTATCATCATCGGCTAATGGACCATATTGACCGAGCGCCTCCGCACGTTGAAAAGCCGCAAATCCGGTAGCTTGCTTCGTGCGTGATTTGGCCTTTGCACTTGGCTTTTGTTTTGTGCTGGATTTGGAGGTCTTAGCGTTCTTAGCCGCAGACTGCGTCGAGTGAGACGTCTGCTCCGTCTTCTTTACTGCGCGTTGATCCTTCTTCGACCTCTTTACAGCGAAGCCATCGTCGCGAGCAGTGAGCGATGAAGCTGCATCCAGTCGCACGTCAGCTGGTGTAGTCAACGCTGGACTGGAGGCACTGGGCGCGATAGTACTAGTGTCGTTCGCCGTTGTCACCACCTCCGTACGTTCCAATAAAGCCGAGCCATTTTGCGCCAACTCGTCTTGCTGTGCCGTGAAAAGAGCGAGGAGTTCCGTAACTGAGTTCACCCGGTACGCCGAGTCTCCTGCCAGTGTAACCTTAGTCACCTCACCCTTGTATACTCGCGAAAACCGAGCTTGCGTCTTGGCGAGTAGACGACCAGGGACCTTGCACATTTTAGCACTGTGTCTTGCATTGAAGCATCGCGTGCACGGAAATCGTAAATTGGCTTGGAAGTGATGGACAGTTATCATCGTTCCGTTTAAGTCAACCCGTGTGACCCCCATCAGAGCGTCAGGACACTGGGCTTGAGCAAAAATGACTTTGTGGAATCTGTTGTCATAGATATCCGTTTTCTGCGACCGTGGATATTCAACATCGAGGACTTTAGCTCCTGCAAACTGCGACATCGCTCGTGCCAGTGCGGCAAGATCCAGCGCTCCAGCTCCATGGACATATAGTGCATACTGCAACTCCAGCTGTGCCGGCGAAAAGCTACCCGTTCCTTCATCCTGGGGTCGGCGCACCGTGTCATGGAGTGAAATCACGGCACGCTGGAAGCGTAAGGCTTTCTTCACCCAGCTTTGAGCTGCACGCTTGGAGTAGAACACAAAGCTGAGCGTGTGGCTGCCGTCGTAAATAAATCGCTTCACGTCGTTGAGGAGGCCGCGCAACACCGGAAGCCCAATGCCAGTCGCGGGGTCTACGTTAGCCTTGTGTAGCTCTTCTAAGATGGCTACATGCGGCGCGTTCCTGGGTAGGTTAACGTAGGGTGGGAGGTTGGCCTTCAGCGTATAATTCATGTGTGCCTCATGAAAGTCTTTCAGCAGAGCACGATGTTCGCTGACCCGAATCTCCTTGATGAAGTTTGGAGGATGAGGAAGTTCCAACATACCGCTTGTATAAGCAAGTAAAGTCCCTTCTCCTGCCTCTGACCACGCTCGAATACTTTCATCGCAGCATGCGTTAGCGGGAGCGTGCGCCAAGTCTCGCATTGCTTGGACCTCCGATGGCCACTCCCGATCAATGTATGCCGCCCAATCCGTCGTCAGCGTCGTGAGCAGCATCTTCATCTCGTCTGTCTTCCAGACGCCCTGCATCATCCTGGACGCCATGGCCGCCTCCTTGGACGGGACACCTGCTGGAGTTGGCTCTGCGCGTACTCTTTGCAGCCAGGTCCCACCACCAAGAGGCCTCGGGCCGCGATGACCGGCACTGGAACCGCGCTGGTGTTGGTCATGCATCGCACTCGCTGCGCTGCAGTCCACCCGTCCGCTGTCGTCGCATCGTGAGCCGTCGTCTTGGAGCGCGGTGTCTGCATTCGACACGTCGGGAACACGTAGCTGGGAAGTGGCTGGTGCCCGCTCAGAGCCAATCCCTCCCAGGGGGGAGCCGGCCAGGGCTAGCTGCCCTGTGTCCGGAGGCTCTTGCGCTGGCGAAGCCGCCATGGTGTCGAGCAGCAGTCAATACAAACTATACGTCCGTCTTTTCCCTACCGGGTGACTTGGAGAGTGAACCGAAGCCAAAATGCACGGCTGGCCGAATGAAATCCACGGCCGTCCACGGACAGCCGAATCCTGCCTCGAGGTTGGCACGGCCGGATACGGACAACCGGTTTTCACCATTTGCGACCTCTGATGGCTAGGTTAGACGCCCCGTTGCGTAGCCAAGACTTGTTTTTGCTCAGAAATTTCTTGTACTGTACGCGCCAAACGCCTGTAGCACTTGTACCATGCCATTTACCAGGCACAAACATGAAGATATGTTTGATGACGTCGCCTCGCCATATTCCATCATTGAACTACATTCTGAATGGCGCTTGGAGGCGAATGATTTCGTGCCTTTGACTCTCTGCGCCGCCTGGAGAATTGCTTCCAGCTCTTTGTTATCAAAGCTGCCTTGAAGGATTCTCACCATTTCGGCATACGGGTTCTGTTTGTGGGTCTTGGAGACGTATCGAATCTGGCCCAGGTCTAAAAATTTGGGGTTGGTGAGCACATCATCCACTTTGCTCTTGACTAGTAGATCCACAAAGACCGCGGTCGGTGATTTCCCACTTTGAAGTCACTGCCGTATTTGAGCTCTCTTGGGTGAGGGCCTGAAGAGGTTTTTCAGCTTGTCGATTCCGGGAACCTTTGGAGTACCCCCCCCCCCTCGTCGCCTTCATCTGTCTGCAGAAGCCGTGAAGCGAGTTTGGGGCGATCTTCGGCGCGGTCCAATTTGGTCGAGTCCTTCTTCTCAATCGAATCCGTGCAGGCACTCGAAAGAATAAACACGACAAACAACACGGATATGGCAAGGAAAACCGCTCGATGCCATGAATGTCAACCCATTGTGCTAACCTCGTCCGGCCAAGTGGCTTGATCACAGGATGGGTGCTACCGTCACCATGTATACTGTACGTACCGTAAACCACGTCCTCAGTGCCACACATACTGTAGGAGTGCCACACGTAAAACTGCTTTCTTTGGTACCCCTTTTCAAAGTACTGTATGGAAATGCGATGACAGGTTCAGTCAAAGCTGAAGATTGACCAAATGGTATCCGTATGTGCATTTAATAAGCTTATGCTTCGATAGTGATTAACGCGTAAAATGTGTGTCGCCTGACACACTCGGGGCTTCATTCCTCAATTCGCCGCGGACTACAACATCAGGTCTCCACCCGAGCCTCATCCATGCGTCTGAGCTTCATCGTCCTGGCCGCCGTCCTTGCAAACATCAGCACTACCAAGCCTCGGGCCGACACCGCTGCTGCGAACGTCGAGGGGCACTGGCCTCAACTAACCGCAGTTGCCATCCGAGCGTTTGGCTGGCACTGCTCGTTAGAGTGAGAGTGCCGGTGTGCCTGCCCAGAGGGCTCTGCGCAGCCACGACGACACCTACGGCAAAGACGAGCCGGACATCGCCGACGAAGAGAGAGGCCTTGAGGTTTTGAAGAAGATGAACCCTGTCAAGTGGGCCAAAACGAAGTGGAGCAACCACAACTTGCGTCGAGCGGCAAAGCTCGCAGAAGACAAGAGAAGATTCAAGAAGGACGTGGAGACGATAGCGTTTCTACAGACAAACTATTACGACAAGTGGAACAAACTGGGGTGGACAAAGGAGCAGGTTAGAAAGGATTTGATCGACTACAACGTCCCCAAGAATGATATTGGCGAAATCTTATACTGGTTCACTTCAATTAAAAAGCAAAATGAGTGAGGGGCTACTTGAAGAATACACGATGCAGTGGTAGCGGAGGGGGCGTTAATTTCAAAATTTGCGGAAATATTCACGCGTAACACCACCGTTGCCGTATCTGCGATGGGGGCCGAGATGCCGCCCACCGGCATGTTCAGTACTTCCGGCGATAGCTCCGCGTCTTGATCAGGTTGGCCGCCGGCCGGCTCCACGTCCCGGGAGCTCACTTCATTGGTTGCATTGCGTAACAAAAGTGATAAATCGAAGGGGAAGTGTCGCTCACACGGTAGAGTGAAGACGTGCTATTAACTCCCAGGAACAAGATAGCCTCGCTATCTCCATCAAGCCACACAAACTTCGGGTTCTACAGTATTTACTACAGATCCACCACGAAAAATTGGTCAAGAAGGTATAGCTATGGCTTTAGTTTTAGTGGAAGCCGCATTTTGTTCATGAAAGGATGATGAACTCGAAGCTACTAATCCACCTTTCAACTACTCCCTGATCTTTATCACTGCAGTCGCTGGCGCTTGGCTTGAGGCATCTGAATTTCCAGCCAGCTCACAATTGCTTCACTTCCGCGGGCAGCGCACTCAGGTAGCAAAACCTCGCGACAGATCGTGCTGCTCACAACGCGGTAGGCGAACCGGACGAACTCTAAATCGTTCGACCTCGCTGCCAGCTTCGCGATTGCTTTCTCGATCTTGGGCGTAATCGGCGATGGCTGGGTCAGCTCGGCAAACGTCTTGAGCACCTTCTCCATCAACGCAAAACCCGACCTATCCATGATAACAGCGCAGAGTTTCTCGACAATAACAGGAGCGTCAATGTACTCCTTGACGCGGTCGCATCGCTCCGACGATCGAATCATGTCCAGCTGATCCCGAAGGCGATAGCGGAAGTTAGGACCCGCCATGACTTCTATCAAAACCTGCAGAACGGACTCGCAGTCACGAATCGCTGCACTCTCAAACTCAAACACCAGATCGATCTCCAAAGTCATCCCGGACTCAATGAACCACTTAAGCGCCTTGGACATTCTTGGACATTGGCCATTCACGCTCAGGATGCGGATCTGGTAATCTTCCAGCCTTACTGAGTTGCTGGAGAGTCGGAATAGGCGTTCACACGTGTCTGACGCTTCTGGAAACATACCGGACGAAACAGCTGCGACGATTATGTTGAAAATACCCAACCGATACGTTGCCAGTTCGCCGAATTGTTTCCAAACCCAGAGCACCACCGCCCAGTCGCCAGTCTCCACACCCCTCGACAACAGTTTCAGCAACGATTCGTCGACATCGATGACAGGAACGCGCGAAAGACCGAGGACAAACGCGCACATATCCAAGACTTGGGACTTAACCAGCGACAAAGCGGATGCCACGATCGGGATCACAATGTCATGGATGGCTTCATAGTCGGGTTCCCCGTACGCGTCCAGGTGGGTCCACGCCCACCCGACCAAGTGCATGTGTCCACTCTGAATACACGCGTCCAGCAGGAACAAATAGCGATCTTCCGTCATGGGTCCAAGGTGAGAAACCATGCGCTCAACCTTGTCGATGGACGGGTTGTTGTATGCGATTTCGAGCCAGATGGGATCGTCGGTTAACTCAACGAGATTCTCGCCAATCTTCTGCGCTACCAGTAGCATTGTGTTGGTATCAGCCCTCGTCTGGCCCAACTTAGTAGCTACAACTGCTTGAACTATGGTTAAAGGCTCGGGGCCGGTGGGTGTCGTGCGCCGTTTAACCCAGTCGGTGACGCGTCGGCTAATTCTCTGCGTAGCTTTCTGGTACCATCGTGGTCGCCTGTGCCAGACGTGGTCGGCGATCCAGTCGAGCGTCTCGTTACTGGTCGAAACGAAGCAGGCGCCCACAATGGCTTCCTCGCACGGAGCAGCACCGACGAGGTTGCTCACGCGTTGAGCCACTTGCGGGATGGCAACGCCTCTGAGAGTCTTCAACTTGGAGAACAAGATCCGGACGAGAGCGGAGGTTGGAGGCAGCGGTGGAGAAGGCCAGAAGCTTGGCGGATGATACGCGTCGTAGGGATCGCAGTTGGGGATGTTGCACTTCATGGCTCGTTTCCAACGGAGTCGCGCTTGGGGCAAATGACAATCTTTGAATTTGCCACACTTGAAGGACGTGGATTAACTGAGGGGAAGGAGATTCGAGAATGAGCAGACTCTCTGCCCCCTCACTCCTCGAGCTCCTACCGAACCTATTTACAGTACACTGGGAAACTTTTTTCGGCAGCAACCTCAACGTCTTAGGTAGCTTCAGCAACATTTTCTCTTTTGGATTTTTCTTTCTTTTATAGTTACAGAGTAACCCTGCGCAGCCGCACAATATACTTCGTCATACAAAAAAGGCTTCAAGTGGTTGAATGAACGCTTCTTACCAACGAAAAAATGTCCTCTCCTCGATATGTATCCGGATATCATGGCGGTCACGAAACCCGTTTGGAGCGTTTGTACATCCTTATTCAGCAAAAATTGCGCGTTTGAAGCAAGTGTTACATCTCCAGCTCCCGCTCTAGATCGAGGGAAAACGCAAGCCGATTTCCCTTGACTAAGATATTTCTGTGCACACTTGAGCGGAAACTGGTGGGCTTGAACCCCGTTTCCGCGAAGTTTGCCACGATCCTCAATCGAACAGGGGCTTGAGCTCCGATTGATTCACGCTCGCCAACTTCTCGACGGAGATTCCGCGCTGATCGTTGGTCTCGAGCTTACCACGCAGAAGTGTGCCGATGCTAACTTGTTCCCGCGTCGCTTGTTTCACCGGACACAGAAAAGACTCAAGGCGCTCTTGGTCTCTTCCTCTTGATGAAGATAACCCCACCGCGTCTTCATCCCGAGACTCGATGGTTTCGCTGCCTTACTCAGTCGGATTTGTGACGCAGGGCATCACGATCCCAGTGGTGATCAACGACACGTCGTCACTGAGACAAACGTGTTCTTGTCCGTCGATTTTACTGCCTTCTCCCGCGTAAAGATCCTGTTTGACTTCGAATCTCCGACTTCGGTTGAGCACGACGCCTCAACTCCCTGCTGCACTTTGGCCTTTTATCAAGTATGGCCCAGTACTTCTCAGTGCCTGAAACTACACTCCCAGCAAACACTTTCTGCCTCTGCGCTCCCTTGTTTCTCGATGCGTTTCTCCATTTTCAGCGCAAAGCGACTTGACGGCTTCTTTGCTGCTTTTGAGCTCGACAGCGTGCTGGCACTGGAAAGATCATCTAGCGCCTGCTGGATCACTTGTTGTGCGTCTTGAAAGAGTTAGAGTTCTTGCTCTTCTGTGGAAACGAGCGCGTTCAGTATCTCCCTGACTACTGTAGTCTGTTAACTTGATCTCCAAGTGAACGGGTCCACAGAGTGAAAATAATTAGCTTTGCGCTTACGGCGAAAATCCTCGAAGTCTCGAAAGACGATTGCCATCGGTGGTGGATCAATGGTTCTATCGACACGTGTCAACTTGATTCGAAAGCACACCATTCCTTTGAGGCGATGCGACTCCTTCATCCCGTCAAGTGTACGTTTATAAACGACTATTTATGAGATTCTAAAGTGGGTTGCTGTTGCTCACAGGTTTATTCACGTAGGGGTTGCTTAGATGTTCTGCTTGACATTATTTTATTGCAGAAATGTAAGGTAGAACTTTCCTTTTATCGCTATAGTGCTCGAAGAGGTCTCTTTTATCTAAGCTAAGTGGAGATTGGTTCTGTTTGTTGACGTAATGGCGAACGGTGGAGGCTAGAAACTCATAAACATTGATTTTCATAATCGATTGGCTCCCTGCAGACGTGCAAGTGCCTCACTGTACGTTTCAATCGAAGACATTCAACCTGCAATGCACAAATGCAATGCCCGATGGCCGAGCTTCTTCCGTATGACATGCGTTCTCAGTTAGACCTCCTAATCCACCTGGAGAAGGGTACCCACGGTCTACATAATCCCACTGAGCCGCATCAACATGGCTGCCTCGTAATACAGTGTATCGCCAATCGTTGGTCTCAGAGCCGCATCCATTTGGGGGCGACTAGCATTCCCAAGGAAGCCCTCACTTTGCAAATTGCGCTCCATTACTGAAACCAGCCATGCGTGTGCTACCAGGACTGCTCTACGCTACGACCCTCGCTCTCGCTGTCAGTACTACTCAGTACTACTCAGTACTACTGACAGCGAGAGCGAGGGTCGTAGCGTAGAGCAGTCCTCCAGAGGTCCGCAAATACCGTATTATATTGTATTGGGATCATTGCGAAGCCCTAATAAATATTACAATACTTTGACAAACAGTAATAAATATTGCCGTAATTTATATTGTATTGGCGCATAAAAAATACCTTTTTATCGATTTAGAGGGGGAAGAAGGTCAGCAGCTGCAGTTCAGTATCATAATTTGCATTGATATTCAAAATTTTACTTGAGTAGTGAAGCTTCACTGTGAAGGGTACCTGAGGCTTAATCTACGCGTAGTTACATGTTGTATGCTCACAGTATTATGATAGCGGTCGGTGTCTTATCGGTCGCTCAAAGCTGTTTTCTACCGGCGAGCTTCAGCAATGGTAAAACGGACATATACATGCTAATGCATACCTATATAATAGTCATTAGGGTATGGAATACTTGCTTGGATGTGGCGTTGAGCAAATCCATGCCCTTAGCAGCTAGAATTTGGCATCTTCAGTCAAAAATTCTATGAAAGCGGTCATTTTTCATATTTATTGTCAATAATTGGGTCAATATGATATTGTATTAGAAACTGGGGCGCTCAATAATAAAGATTTTATTGGAAAAACCAATTATTTACTGTATTGCAATATTGTTTTGTTCTGAGCTGGGTCAGAAATTCGCCTGGCGTTTAAATAGCCATACTGCTGTAAAGCAGCCGACGCAGCACTTGCGATGTAGTCACACATGTAAGGAGATTTGAACCTTGTTCGCGCTTCGATCAAAAGACTACAGATTCAAAATACATATCATTGATATATAAGTTGGAAACTCATACATGTAGTGACGTCTAAGGGACGTCGACGGTTAACATGCAAGTCTCGTAAAGAAGGAAGCTCATTGCATCGATAAATCAGTCTTTCTTAGTGTAGATGTAGATTGCTTGTTTTCTTCTCCTTCATTTTCTCTCCCCCGATAATAAAATCAGCATTGCTTCTGCAAATGGAGATGTTTTGAGATCTCACACGCTGTTGGGAGTGATTTCAACTCTGCCTCTTTCTCTACGAAGCATATTCAGTACTAACTGGAAGTATTGTTTTGCTATTTTGGCAACAACTCACTGGTAGGGGCGATCGCCAAACGAACCATTCGGGTTCTCATATCAAATCCGTTGGGCGACGACAACAACAAAAAACAGTTTTTGTTTTAATGTGCTGCATGTACAGATAGAACTCGTGACATGCTGAATTCCTTTCTTCTTCGTCATCAGCCCAACGCTACGTTAGACCCTCGTCTTCACTCTAGTCGAAGCTCAGCTTGCTTTTCTTCAGAAATTTCGTGTACGCGCGCCAAACACCATGAGCACTTGTGCCACGCCAAATACCAGGCCCAAGCATGAAGATCTCCTCGATGACTGCGCTTGGCCGAATTTTCTTGTTGAACCACATTCTGAATTGCGCCTTTTGTAGCTTGGAGGCAATTGATTTCGTGCCTCTTACACCCTTCGCCGCCTGGAGCATTGCTGCCAACTCTTTGTCTTCGACGCGACCTGTGAGGATTCTGACAATTTCCGCGTGCTGGTTCTGTTTGTGAGTCTTGGCGACGTATCTGGCCCAGATCTTAAAGTTGGGGCTCGTGAGTACTTCGTCCACTTTACTGTCAATGAGTAGATCGACGAAGACTCCGGTCGACGATCTCCCACTTTTAAGCCACTCCCGTATCTGAGCTGTCTCGGCCGACGGCTTGAAGATATTTTTCAGCTTCTCAATTCCGGGAACCTTTGCTGTAATGCCCCTCTCGCCGCCTTCATCATCTCTCCTCAGAAGCCGTGAAGCAGAGACGGGGTAATACTCGCTGCGGTCCACGTCCTTCCTCTTAGTTGAATTCGCGCCAAGAAGAAGCGCGGCGAACAACACGAGAATTGTAACGGGGTTACACGGAGGTTACCCTTGTGGTTACCCTTTTGGTGTGCGATACACCAAGGGTTACTCCCTGGGCCACTGGCCAGTCATTGAGAATAAACTAGAGTTAGTTATGTCGATAGTAAGTGCAGGTATTTGCACCGTAGGCGGCGGAGCCGCAGATAAGAGAATGAATACAGTTTGCCTTTTGCAAGAAGTCTCTGACTTGTTTTCGTGGGTCCTCGGATAGGACCCTGTTGGACTCTTTGAGTCGTAAAGTCTTCCTCTACGTAAGGAGCTACGGCAGCCCCGCTGCAAGAATGGCGAGGAGAGTCATTCGATGTACTGGATGGCGACCCATTGCACTTGCTGGGGACTTCGAAGCTTGTAAAGTGAGAGATGCTGCGCAAAGGACTCGTATCACTGGTTGTAAGCTGGCTTTCAGCTGGCAATGGAGACCAAGCAACTTGATCACAAGATGGGTAGCCCCGTGATCATCAACATTACGGAGACCCCACATCCTGTTTTCTTTAACGCATTTACCTACACTGATGCCAGAATCACAAACAGAAACTTCCCTTCGCACAACGATGGCAAGAGTCAAGTTCATAGGTGACGGCAAATGATATTTACACTAAATCGTTCCCGTTTACTGATGTACACTGGTAGCGTAATAACGCGTGTAGTATCAATGTTTTTTTACTTGTCTCGAGAGATTCTTTGAGCTGGAGCAGGCGAAGCGAAATCCACTGGTTCTACGAGGCGCAAGCAGCACTGCAATCACTGGATGTGAACACCCCCGGGATCTCCATAAACACCCACCGACGGGGATACAGTTTCGCGAACCTCCACTGTGCTGTGCACTAACTTCACGGTACTGTACGTACAACATACTACGCACGCCAATGCTCACAAAGGTTATCCCCGATGCTGATCTCACTCTTGGTGCAGGCTGGGGGTGTCTTGCACTGGCCGCACGCGAGGCCTTCTCTCATGGGCTATTTTCGAGCACGCGAAAACTTTGCCTGTCAATCTGAGAGTACACGTTTCGAGGTTGCCAATCCATCACAACCAAGGTGGGAGCATGAGATGCCAGCGTAGTTCCCATTCGACACAAGAATCCACCACATCCATGGCACTAGCATCGAGCTCGTCCGCCATAGCCTTTTTACCTTTCACCCACTCTGGCCTGTTTGGCACAACCAGGATGCCGATAAGCGTGAGCCAAGCACTTGTCCTTCACTCGAGCCCGCGTCACGCGCCCCGAAACGGAATAGGGAACGTATCCACCGTGATCGATACAGAGGCCCTTGTTGATAGCTGCGTTAGTGCATCGTGGGCGGGCACACTTTGGGCCTTCTCCGTTGTCTCGTGCCTCACCTCCACTCACACCATTCGATAACCCGCTGGATTTTCGTCCGAAGTGTTTAACACTCAGACCTTTAGCACCTTGTGGAGCAATATTTCCACTATGAGCCACACACATTCCCTTGATCAGAGCTTGCTTAGTGCAGCCTTGGATCGAGCACTTTATGCCTCCACCGTGGCAAAAGCACTTCCCACTTCGGAGAGCCTTCTTGGTGCAGCCTGGATGCTCACATCGCTTGCTACCTCCATGTGAAACGCACAATCCCTTCAGCGTCGCTGTCTTGACGCAGCCTGGGAGCGAGCACTGCTTGGTCGGACGCCGCGGCTTGTATTCAGCTCCAGCTTCAGCCTGGATAAAAGGCTTCTCCTCTTCCACCTCCTGCTGCTGCTTGGGTGACTCTGGCACTGGGTCGTCCTCGTCCGAGCTCGAACAGCCGCTGCTGTTCTCTTCGTCGCTTGTCGTCTCGTCGTCAGCGTCCATTTCTTCCTCCCACTTGTGCAGTAGCCGTAGTTTCACGCCCTTCTCGTCCTCGTCTACGTGTAATTCAGCTGCGAGGGGCATCACAATTCCTTCGGAGGTGGAAATCTTGCTCTTGTTGGCGTCCATCTCGTCCTCTTCCTTGTTTGCTTGTAGCTCGACTGCGAGTTGCATCACAATTCCTTCTGAAGATGAAAGGTTGACGACGGGTCCGTTCTTCTTGGCCTCTTCATCTTCTGCTTGCACCTCAGCTGCGACTGGCATCAGGATCCCCTCCGAGGAGAAAATCTTGCCGTTGCCTCCACGAATGAACACTGTCTCGTCCAAGACGACAAGGCAATCCGCCCCCGCCCCTGCAGTCTTGGGGCTCGTGGGCGAGAAGTCCAGCACCTCGAGGGAGTCGCCCATAATCCACTTGAGCTCCAGCCGGCGTGTTTGGTAATCACAGACTGCGGCGGACTGCTATAGCGCTAATCAGACGACAGCCCAACTTCAATCAATATACTTGAAGTTTGTATGGCAAACTGCAACAACAAAAAAAGAACCGCGCCTCCTGTGGTAATGACACCCATGCAGCAGTCACCAAGTTATTTTTTAACGAAAGCGCACCAAGCTGGCGATTTTTATTAAAACTATGGTTGAAGTTATAACAAGAGACGTTATTTCTTAATTTTGAAGAATACTACAGCACTCAGCTTGTATATTTTGCTGGAAGAAAAACCAAACATGTACTTCAAAGAGCCCCAGACTTCCTACACTGCGGTAATTAAACCTGCTCACCACGTTCCCCACTGGAAATAACTTACGCACGTGGTTCCTTCAACATCTTACTCCTCACTGGAACTTTGATCACGTACAGCACGCTCAATCTCAACCTTGGGCTTCCACTCGCTCTCGCCATACCCCATGCGCAATGCAAAGGCTTTCGTAGTTCGCCAACCCGTTCCTTCCCCGGCGCCTGCTTGAATGATCACACTCCCTCCGTGTTCACCGCACAAGCCAACCGATACGGCTCTCTTCTCGCAGCCTTCACGCTCACAAGTTGTGCCTCCGCCGTGCTCAAAGCACTTGCCCCTTGCAAGCGCCTGCTTGACGCAGCGTCGATGCGAACATTGTGTACTTCCACCATGACCGACACACACTCCCTTCGCATGGGCGCGCTTCGTGCAACCTTCGACCAAACACTGTCGAGCCCCACCATGTTCAAAGCAGAATCCGTTTGCTTCGGCTTGTCGGAGACAGCCCAAATGACCGCACGGGCCGCTTCTGCCGTGGTTGTAGCACTTGCCTTGGATCACCGCTTGGTTGTCACACCCCTCAACCGAGCACGGTTTACCCCCGCCATGCTCGAAGCACACGCCATCGGCTCGGACCTGCTTGGTGCAACCTTCATAGGAGCATTTGCTCCCTCCGCCATGCTCAAAGCACAGTCCCTTGGACACCACCTGCTTGGCACACCCTCTCTTGGAGCATTTCCTGCCTCCACCATGCTCGAAACACTTGCCTTTGGACAGAACTTGCTTGCTGCAACCTTCGATAGAGCATAGTTTAGCTCCTCCATGGGCGAGGCAGCGTCCTCTGGCTCTGGCTTGCTTGGTGCAGTCCGGGTGCGAGCACTTGTTGCCTCCACTGTGTCCCACGCACTTTCCCTTGACTTTGGCCTGCTTGGTGCAACCTTCCTCCGAGCACGTGTAGCCTCCGCCGTGCTCAAAGCAGCTGCCGCCTTGCAGCGCCTTCTTGCGGCAACCTTTGTGGGAGCATTTAGCCCCGGCTTTAGCAGGCTTGGCCGTGGATTTACTTGAAGCTTTTACTTTGGTCTTGGGCTTTGCGGCTTTAACAGGAGACAGCTTCCGCTTCTTTTTCGCTGGTGGAGGCGCGGCGGCGTCTTCTTCCTCATCGCTCGGCGGAGGCGTCTGGTCGGGGGTCTCCGCTCCAGGTGAGGCGCTGCTTTCTGCCTCGGACTCGTCGCTGCTGCTCACGTACTCGCGCGCCATGATGGAGTAAGATAATAAAAGTCGGGTTCAATAAATTAATTGGAATGTTGCACAAACACTTGCGACATTCGCGCAACATTCACGATTTGATGACGGCGTGATTTCTATCAGATGAGCTGTTGGCTACCGGTAGTCGACTATGAGGAAGCGTAAAGGCCATCTTGTGAAAGCGGGGTCTCGCTAAAAAAGCTGGTCAGTGGGAAGAAACACACAGCCAGAACTTGAACAAGATTCGGGTTGAAGCCGACTCATCATGATAGTGGCTACTTGCACCGGGCCAGCCAGTAAGAGACCTTGAGATGTGCTTAGAGCTACAGCTGGTGATTTGACGTTCAACACTCCAAAATCGGTGAAGGAACTCCTTCATTTGCGAAAAGGACGAGAAGGAGGCAAGCGGACGTCGGCAGGTGCGAGGCCGTCGAAATGCAAGCCCCTGCTAGCTAGGAGAGGGTGTGCGTGTGTGCTAAGATCATGGTATCATTTGCGTGTTAGCTGTGGGGGAGTTGTGCGCACAGGGCCAACACAAGCACGCGGTATTTGCGGAGGGGGGCCCTGCACCGAGCTTTCCAGCGCCTCGTGCAGTACGCGGCTCACTAGACTGCTTGGCGTGGGGGCGTCCAGCCAAGCGCAGCCCGGCAGGCAACATGTTGTGGTAACAAGTAGTTGGCACTAAACATTAAAGTAGATCCAGCGTGTGTTGCTTAGCGCCTCGAAGCATACTGTAGCTACTTCAGACTACACGCAATGGTACAGTAACATACAGAATACAGCATTTAGTGCAGCTCAGCCGCTTGCTCTCGAACCGAAGTGATATGTAGTGTTACTGTGAGGACACTTAGACCCAAGGACTTGGCGATCAAGTCCTCCAACTCGGTGGCCAAATTGACCAGACTTGGCCACTTGGCCCATGCTCGTACTGGTGCTCGCTCGGTTGGTTGGTTGCTGGCAGCAACTTGCTGCCAACTTGGTTGGAACGTCCAACCAACATACGGAAATGTCCTCGACAAAAAACAGAGTGTCAGCCTATTCTTTTACCGTGCACCGGGCCAGTCGGTGTGGCCCGGTGCACCACGCTGCACCGACTGGAGCTGACCCGGTGCAAGAATCCTCTGTCGCTCATCATTGCATATGATTCAGTTTATAGCTTTGCCGATTGGTACACTCGTACAGTGCAGTACATATTTGCCCCACAAAAGCATACATGCAGACTGTTTAGTATTGGCATGTCTTCGCCAGCAGCTTTTTTTCCAAGGCGCATTCTTTTTCTTACTGGAATGAAAAAGCTATCGCTGCGCCAAGAAGCTTTGTGGCCCAGTGAGATCATTTTCTGCTACACAAACTGAGTGCCGGCATCCCTTTGTCATCACATACAACCCACCTACACCTATTTACCCTAACCGCACTAACAAGCTGAAACTCGGGAGGTGATATCGACAGCGGAGACCGGGGTGCCAACAAACACTTTTTGGGGTCAAAACAAAACGAAATGGGGCGCCAGCAAAACCAAGCGTGCGCCAGCAAAATAAAACCGCCGTTTTGGGGCGCCAGCAAACAGATTTCCGGGCGCCAGCAAAATGGATTTGCTATTGGTGCGCAGCCGGGGCAAGCCCCGAGAGCATATTCGCGCCAGTATCCTGAATGATGGTTTGCTCGAATGAGTCGAATTATTATGCATTCCCAATGCAGGTTAAATCGACCGAGTCGACTTATAGTGCATTCCCAACGAGAGTTTACTCGACACTGTCGAGTTAATGTGCATTCCCAATGTAGTTTTTTTCGGTTGAGTCGGCGTATCGTGCATTATTAGTCGCGACATTCCAACGAGGGTCGGCTCACGATGGATTGCTGAATAACTTAGCATTTCAACTCTATGGGGGTTGATGAAACGGACTCAGGTTTACTTGAAAAAACGATTTACTCATTAACCAACACTCCCTTTTCACAAATATTGTATAAATGAAAGTCAACAGGTGTATGCGAAGTTTTAATAGGACGGAGTTATGGCGTAGTTGCTGTAAAAAGCATTACCAGCTTGATATGTATGAAGCCTACCCACACCACGAAGAAGGGTATTCGAAACCCAAAAACGAAAACAACTATCCGGTTAACGCATAAGAAGTATCATGAAGAGTAAGTAAGTAAGTCTAAGTTTACCGCGCGAGAGTTTTTCTCTTTAACAAAGCATTAATGCATCTGACGTAGATCGAGTTCGCGATGAACTCAGCCGCAGGTTGCATTTCTCGGCAGAGTTGAAGAAATAGTATAATATTACTTAGGTTATTATTCAAATCACTGACACAGCCAAACCACCGCTGCTATTGCTCGAACAGTGAACATATCGTCGTAGGTTACGATTAAGCAGGCATTCACACTCTTTGATAAGAGCTAAAATATCTATATACTCACCTTTTGGCTTTGTATTAAGAAGCAACATCGTACAGTTCTGTGATCTTCTAACGTAGATCATGATTGACTTGGATTAATGGAAATATTGCCCCAACCTTGTGCAGTAGACACACCAGTATTTGTACGTTGTGCAAGTTCACTGATATACCTGCCGAGGCAATTTAATGTGTCCAAGATGTTATGTAAACCGCGCTAGCTTGCTTATTCTGTTTAGTTTTTTATATGTCAAGAATTTTTAGGGGTCAGCGAACCTCTAGTTATGCCATGTATAACTAGCAGATACATGTGGCGCCTTAGCTGCACTTACGAATTAAATGTTGCTTCTACGACAACATTAAGCTCGTGCACCCGACAGTATACCACCACAATAGTGACTATATTTTTATCCGGTTATCAGTAGCACGTTGCAGTATGCAGGTCGATAAAGCTTCCAGACAAATCTTCCTAATGGTGAAAACGTTAGTCCCCTGAGCGGCGAGTTATACTATGGCATGTCATGGCAGTGGTTAAGACCCACATATTGATGCGAAGCTTCATACACATATATGCCGACACTACCTAGCTGTACCACAAATGCTTTTGTATGAACACATACGAGGGGATACACTGAGTTATTATACCGGATTCGCGTTAACTCGCGCCGAGTTATTTAGAGCCTATCTCACAACCTCAGTCACGCATCGATTTATCCGGTATTTGGCAGCTTCATGTCTACAGATGTGGCCTACAGCTAGACCGGCCGGCCGACTTGACTATAAATATGATACTTCAATTGAGCAGGATATCAACCTAGCAAACTCAAGAAGCTCAACCGGCGCTTCTTCGTCTATCTCTACGCTCGACTTCATATGAATATTGTCGACTTAACCTGCATCTTGAATGCAGATTTACTCGATAATGTCGACTTAACCTGATCTTGAAGGCAGATTTACTCGACAATGTCGACTTAACCGTCATTGTGAATGCAAGTTTGCTTGACCGGTTGGCTTAATATCAATACGCCCGGCGAAACCGACATCTTAGATGCCAGCTTAGATTTTTTTGCATTGAACGTAGTGCGAAACACATGCAACTGGCGGTGAATGCATAACTGGAGGCAGTTGCTGTAAGAGGGGTTACGCCTGTCTTCGTACCGTAATTTAGATCTCATACAGAATTCTGCCCGAATAAGGAACGGGTGTACAACTAATAGCCTCACATATTCAATATTATTTTCCAGTCGATGTGGCGATAGGGGGATGTGCAAGGTACTGAGGTGAAAAATCCAGTGCCAATCATCAGCTCTCCACCCTCGTTTGAAAAATGGCGCGCATTTAGCGATCTTACTAGACTTCAAACTACATGTACCGTAGTGGTAGACTCGCACTTTTGCTTTTGCACCTCGCCCCACAAGCCCACCTCCTCCCCCACTCCACCCATGAAGTCCACACCGTCCAAGCGTCTCCGCCTCACTTGGTCTGAGAAAGTGGGCATCCTCGACAAGGTGAAGGGCTAGATAATCCCTACGGGGTCGACCAGTTGACAGCGCTGTTGTGGTGCGAGGATGCCTGGTCAAAGGTTAGTGCTTCGACCATACGCCACTGTTGGAATCATTCCGGACTCGTAGGTAAAGCTGCTCTTCAGTTCATTTTGAAATAACTAAATCAGTACATTGGAAAAGTATAATCAACTTAACATCAATTTATATATTCTGCGTCTTTATATATATCAGGCGTTCCTTACTCCGGCAGATTACTGTACTACATATAGCTGATTATTGAAGTTGTTGTGTTGCAAAGTGGACACGAGATGTACATGTACCGACGATTTTATGTTCGTATTCTGAAGTGCATCATGCAAAGTGGTATTTATGTACCGGTACCCTTAAACACTGCTGTCTAGATCTATCTACTCCACGGCAGCTAGCGTCACGCTGAGCTTGTGTTGAAAGGAGACAGCAACACGCTTAAACTGCTTCGGCAGCTTTCCTGTTCCTGTTGTGCGTGTCCGCCCTCCCTGCTAACCTGGGGAGCGGGACATCACTTTTCGCGGACTTGGCGTGCGCTCCATGGTTGTTCCTTGCAATGACTGGCCCTCTTTTGCTGCATTTGCTCTATTTATACCCTACGTATTATGAGAACTCAACTGATGAGCTGGGTAAATGCCAATCGTCACCAAATGCCAGCATCGGCGACCATCTACCAGCTGTCCTTCATAATGTCCGTGGGTCCCGACTTGTCCTAAAGTGACACACCCTCTATTCATAGTTTAACTAAATGAACCGACACGGGGAGGTTCATGACATCTATCCGCATATCTGAAGTGGCGGACTCGTCGGCAATGCTAGCAAGAGTTCTGGTGATGATGCTAGATACTCATCGTCGATAGTTGAAAATGTGCGTGTTGCATGAGGCCCTGTACAGCGATACCTTGCATAATACAAAACAGTCTTGTGACCGACGTCGTGTACGTACCGCTGCAAATACTCCTTCACTTTTGGCTCACACAGACACCCCTCAAGAACGCATTTTGGAACGCGGCTAGTGCGAAGGCACTCCGGGCCCAGGCGAGCGTAGGGTGGCCGTGCCATGAGGAGAAAAGTGAGTCCTTTTTCTTCTCGGGAAGCTGCAATTCAGGAGGGGATTTCCTCAGGGCGATGGCGTCCCGCACAGCAACGAGTGCTGCGGACGCCTTCTTGCCCATGTGAAAACAAATAACGACTGTTCCCAATAAAAAAAGCGGCGGCCCGGGAATGGGGGTTAAGCCGAATTGAACTGCCAGAGGATGTAGAGCAAGATGTGCCGACCAGTCACGCACACACGCACCAAGGACATGAGTGGCTACAGCTACAGACTCCAACGGAGAACGTCCGTAATCACAGCTGGCCCCTCTTCATTTTCCAGCTTGCTTCGAACAGTCAAAAGCACCAGCCACCGGATTACCTTGGGTTCTAGCGTCTTCCACCATGAACAAGTGCCTCACGCTCCTCCTACTGGTCGCGCTCACCCTCCTCGCGGGCAGCAACGCTGTTTCGACCGACTTCCAGCTGGCCAAGGTGGCCCCTGCGACCGTGAACAACGCCGTCCACGCGGATATTGGCGACAAGCGATCGCTACGAGGCCTTGAGTCGACCCGGGTTGATGCTGACGAGGAGCGAGGCATGACGGAGCTTTCAGCCAAGTTCAAGACGTGGATCGCGAGCCTCAAGACGTGGATCTCCAACTCCAAGCTCGTGCAGATGGCGACCAAGCAGACGCAAACACTGAACCAGAAGCGCCGCGTCGCCAAGGTCTCCAGCCTCATCAAGAAGGGCTCGTCGGACACCGTGCTGTACCAGAACAAGGTCACGCCGGACGAGTACTTACTGGCCAAGGGCCTGAACCCGAAGCTCAAGTTCTGGGGCGACTTGCCGGAGGTGTGGGCTAGGAACGACGGTTTGCGTCAGTGGTTTACGTACGCCAAGTTCTTTGAGGAGATGCAGAGGAAGGCCGCTTAGACAGCGCAACGCAATGGTGCTACGTAATGAACACTCTATCATCAGCTTCAACTTAATGAGGTCATAAAATACGTAGCAATACTGTAGCTCGGCTCGACAGTACTCTAGTCACCAACAGAAACCCAATCGAAACCGCGATTCTTGGACAGTCCGCTGGCTCTGAAGCACCCTTATATTGAGTGCTTCCTCCGTAGCCAAAGTAGGCCCTAGCCTTTGAACGATTCAAAACAAATCCGACCACAAGCATGTTTTGTTTTCATCCGCGGTGAGCCGAAGCGGGAAGCGCAGGCTACCAATCATGATTCTTGTGCTGCACACTCAGATCCCCCCAGTTCAACTTAAACACCGTCTATCTCCGCCGTCGCCACCATTGTTCGATGGCATTCCACAGAGTACGTCAACAGTATCTAAAGCACGACAATCACCGACTTCTCCGTGAGCAGCGCGTTGCTGTCAATGGTGTGTTGAGGAGGTAAGTACAGTTGCCTCCCGAAGTGAAACCCGTTTGATTTCGCCGTGCTGGATGACTGCATGGTCTTGCCCTCGAGTAGACCTACTGTACTTGCAGATGTCGTGAAGCAGTTTATCACCAGCTATTCGCTCCATGTTGATCTTCGGTGTCTCTAAGCTTCCCATGTTTCCATACTCCCCCTCGCCAGGCGAAATTGCTCCCTAGTTCTTGTGGTAAGCTTAGCAGCTAGTCAATAAGCCTCATCGAGTCGACTGGACCGCTTTGGTTCGGCGTGATCGGCATTTATGTTATGATGTTCATCAATACTATATCACGCTTAACACTGTAAAACCGACGCAGTGAACTCGTCGGTGTCCATCGGCACTTATTACCAGGATCTGCCCCCCAGCAGTCGGACTGCTGCAATACCCGACACATTATTACCGCGTTACTAGACATTTCATAGCTCTGGGTCACGGTTGTACTCGCCATCTTCTGCCTCACTCATTGATCAAGTTTGACGAGTGACGTCTCCGCCGTGCAATCCCTTTGCACTAGAACGTACTTAACGTGCAGCCTGCCTCTCACCCTTGCTGGCCTCCTTCGTACTTGGGGCAAAACTTTGAGTTTGCGGCAGCTCGTTCTTGACACCCGTCGAACACAGCGAACTGCATGTCTGGAACACAGCCGGCCCGTAGAGACAGCTCGGTCTGGACAGTCTGGATGCCGGCACTTCTTCCCTCCATGCACACCACAGTTGCCTTTTGCAACAGAGACGAGTGCAGCCTTGATGAGAGCAAACTCGACCCACCCTGTGGACCTTGCACTTGCCCTTGAAATGGGAGCGCTTGGTGCGGTCTGGTTCGGAGCATCGTTTGCCACCTCCGTGAGTAAAGCACTTGCCATGGGTTATAATACAACTTGCTTCGGGCAGTCTGGGTGTGAACACATCCGAGCTCCGCCGTGGGTGGCGCACTTGCCGTTGAGGAGTGCGTGCTTGTTGCATCCCGGGTCCGAACACCGCTTCCCCCCGCCATGTTTTCCGGAGGGCTCCCGATTATGGTACAGTCAAACCTGTTTATATGAGGCCCTGTTGGTGACCATCTACTACAATGACTCATATAAAATGGACTCAGTTAAAACAAAATTATGTGGTGCACGTAAAGAAATCGTGCATAGTTCGCTGGCGCTTTGCCTTCACCGTTGTCTCTCGAACCAAAACGGTCACGGTCTGTAAAGCTCTTCGTTCTCTGCCAGTCTGCTCTCCGCATTGCAGCAGAAATGCAGCCAGCTCCATGCAGTGTCTCAGAGCAATGGCAGGTTGAACTGCGGGTTCCTTCCTGTTCCTCCTCTTCCTCCTAAGCGCTCCGCCAGGAGCACGTCGTCCGCCATCGCCGTTTTAGCTTCGTTCTCAAAGAAAAAATCCCTCAGTTCCCGCTCGAACTGAGGAAATTTCACTCGGCGCCGCTTGGTCGCACTCAGGTCGACGTGGCTGAAGTAGGAAGAAGGCAGGTTGCGCAGTCGGGCGAGTGTGGCGCGGCTGACCCGGGCCTTGAAAGTTGCGTAGATCCACTCGGCGAGCATGGGGTTGTTCATGCCAGGATTCTGCTTGAGCTTTAGGTGCACTTGGAGCTTTTGTTCTAGCGTCAGACAGGTGCGAGGAGACATGGCGAGCGAAGAAGGCTTGCGGTAGGCGTTGAGTGTTGAGCAGTGGTGCTTTGAAGAGTGTGTGGTGTGAATCAAATAAACAGGTGAGACCTAATTTGGTCCCCAAAAATGTGACTCATATACCTTGTATGCATATAAACAGAGATCATACAAAAACTAAGTGAAATATTTGGTAGCGACAAAGCCTGCGTCAAATAAACGGCATGGCTCAAATAGAGAGGATCATATAAACAGGTTTGACTGTATTTTATTTATGGATGGTCCATCTGGCTCATAAATAATGGCATCAACCCTACAAGTCAGATGATCAACAATAAACGCCAATCTTCTTAACCAGACCCCCATTTCTTAAGCTTGCCCATCAGAGTTCCTGGCTTACGAACACTTCGTATAGTTTGATCCGAAACACGACTTCGATCCGCAGTGGTCGCTATAGACCCCCCCCCCTTGAAGTAACTGGGCTATTGACTGCGGCCAAACGATGTGCATTGGCGCCTAGTACCTGGAACAGCTCGTGTTCCGTTGATGGAGTATCCGGGCAATGCGTAAAGCACAACTGTCCCTTGGGAAGTCGACGCCTCGTGCATCTGGGCACTGAGCATTGATTGCCTCCTCCGTGCTTGTAGCAGTAGACAGACCTCGCCTCAGCTTGAACGCGGCAGTCCTTATACGCACATTTCCTACTAACGTGCTCAGCGCACCTGCCTCTCGCAACAGAACGACGCGTACACCCTTGATGCGAGCACACTGGGCGCACAGTATGAGCCTTCCACGTGCCCTAAACATGGGCGCGTTTGGTGCTACCTGGCTCCGAGCATCGCTGGCATTCTCCGTGAGTAAAGCACTTGCCATTTGACACAGCTTTATGCGGGCAATCCGGGTGTGTACATATCCGCGCTCCATCGTGAGTGGCGCACTTGTTGCTGAGGACAGGACGCTTCTTGCAGCCCGGGTAGGAACATCTTCTCCCTCCGCCATGTTCGTAGCACTTACCTCCTCGAGCACTTGGCGTCGAGCATCCACGAACAGAACACAACCAGTTGCCGCTACTGCTTCGCGTGGTGCTGTCCCCCTTCCCACCCTTCGGCACCGCAGTCACCTCACTTGGCAAGTCTTCAGCTCCCGCTTCATCATGGCCGAACGCTTCCGGCGCAAAGCTCAACAACAGAGCCACCATCGAGTCGCTTGGTTTAGCCTGCTGCTGTCCTTCAATCCATGCGATCGGCATAACAATGCCCTCAGATCCTTCTTCGCCACAGAACACAAACTCGTTCGTCCCTTCTGCTGTCTCCAGCCGTCTGGAGCCGTCGCCGGCAATGGCCTCGTGCGCGGGAGTCTCCATTATGAACTTGCGCGGCTGATCTCCGTTTCAATCTTAACAGTCGGCGATGAGCTGTCAGCTCTCCCAGGTTATTTCGGACATGGGACCACTCGAGTGTTCTCGCCATGCTGAGCACACAGACCCATAGCTCGAGCTGTACGACCACATCCTGGGTGGAATACGTTCATCGGTGTCTAGCGCATAGTTCCTTGGCGACTGCTTTACTCTTGCATCCTTCCGCCCATCATCGCTGAGCTCCTCCATGTCTAAAGCAAAAGGTCGACTTATCATCCGCGCGAGATTCGCACCCGTCAAACTCACAGCGAGCCCCATGTGTATAACAGAAGCCCTTCTTGTGAGCTGGCGTGGAGCAGCCTGCCTGGATGCGCGCACTTCTTCTTGTCGCCGTGGATGTAGCACCTACCTTTACGAATAGCTGGTCAGCTGCAGCCTTCTTGACTGCACACTGGATATTCACGATGAGCGTGGCACTTGCCCTTGAACGCAGCTCGCTTGGTGCAATCTGGCTCGGAACACTTCTTACCGCCTCCGTGACCAAAGCACTTGTCATTGGACCCTACAGCGAAGTAGGAACAGTCTGGGTGTGTGCAGATGCGGGGTTCGCCGCGAATGCCGCACTTGGCATTGTGGAACTGGAGCTTGTTGCAGCCCGGCATCCAGCAGCGCTTCCCTCCGCCATGTTGGAAGCAGTTGCCGCCTTGGAGACGTCGCCGCGGACACCCAGGACCGGACACATCTTTTGAGCGCTATTAGCTGGACGTATCTTCTCCTTCCGTACGTGTGGCTTCTTACGCTTGCTTGCTGTCACCCCGTTCGGAGCTTTATTTTGTGAAAGAGGCACTACTATTGAGTCGGCATCTTGGTAGAGCTGTCGACGTCGAGGGTTTTGACGTTGACCCGACGCCTTTTTCTGTCGACGTCCGTGGGTGTCAGCCGACGTCGAGCCGACACCACGCCGACATCCTCCGCTCGACTTTCTGCTGATTGGTCAAAAGGAGTTTTGGTGAAGCCTATGAAATCGCCTGACCTCAGACATGCCCATTGCCTCAATCAACTTGTACCCGCGACTCAAACAAACAGCCAAGTCCGATAATGATTTTCACTTGGAAGAACTCCGCTATCGAATGATGTAGAGTCTACACCTTTGGTCTACACTGTAGACCAGCTAGCAGCGAGTCTGCCTGAACGATGGGATGCCCATGCCCCGGATGAACTACAAAATAAGGGGTGGACGCTGATTCAAGCTGAGTAGCTTGCATGATGCGCCCTAGCAAGTGTTGACTGCGCTCAGACAGCGACTTGAGTGTCAACGCCAGCCATGTTGTCAAAGGCGTCGTCTCCGGCTGGGCCGAATACACCAGACCATGACGCGCCTTCAATGGTTCCTTTGTCGTCTGGGAGTTGGGCAACTGCATACCAATTACGAGGTTAACTGAGTTGAACACGGGCTCACATGTAGGTCATCGCAAACATTAACGTCGGCAGTGTTTGTACTCAATCCTATTGCGATCTATAGTGGAGAAGTTGCCCCTATAAGTTTCACCGAGACACTATTTACTAACAGAGCACGTTATGTGTATGTACTCACGTCCCTCAATGAGGCTAATGCAGGGTGCGCCACCTCGCGCTGTGTAACGATCCTATTTCGCAATAGTGACACCCTTTTGGATGTCGACTGGGTGTCCCTCGACGACTTTTGGACGTCCGGGTGTTACCCGGAGCGACGACCCGACGTCGACAGCTCTACATCTTGGTAGTCCTGGGTGATGTGCATGAGTCAGTCGATGCCGTTGCATCTCCAAAGCACAGGAACCTGTCCACGTTCTCTACCATTAGCTGATAATTAATGGGTATCATCTGTTGGATTGCATGGCTCTGGACCCGAGTCATTATCACACTTGTGACCTAATCGCAATATTTATTTTTGGTATTGAAACTTCATTTTCACAAGAGCACCATGGTGAATAATAATAAGAAGAAGTCAGGCATCTCCATCCGCGCTTATGCAGCTGCGGCTTCAGCGACGGCACGACGCGACACAGAACCCTGTTCGCCATTCACAGCAAAATGATAGTGCACTTCAAGTGCTCATGGAAGAGCGAGAGCGGGCCACCCTTCAGAAGGCTATTGACAGTCGGCCGATTAATACAAAACGGAAGTACAAGGGCTACCAAAAGGAGTTTGCAGAGTGGAGCCAATTGATGGGGTTTGGCGATGGTGTTACTGTCACTGGTAGCAAGCTTCATCTCTTTTTGGACACCCAAGTCGTAGGCAGAGAGTCGAAGAAGAAGAAGGGTAAAGTCATTGGGGCATCAACGGTGTACGGCTACGTCAACGCTACTGTAGACCTACACAACCAGCAGGTGGCGAACAAGATGAACGGTAACGACCACCCTCGCACGTACAAGGTAAAGCAACTGCTCTCAACCGTCCAGGCGGAAACTACGGCGACACGAAAAAAAACTACACAGATCGCGGCGTGGGATCGTTGCTAGATGGCTACCAGTCTGAAGCCCAATTCACTCAGATTTGTGATACTTTTTTTCGTTTTGAACGATCTCATGGGAAGAGCGGCGTTTTTGGTATCTCATTTCGGCTTACTGCGAGGTGAAAACATTCGTGATCTGGAATTCGCCGACATGTTTTCTCAGGAACTAGACAAAGAGGGGTTCCATCCATGCACTGCGTTGGTTCTGCTAATCCAACACGACAAAACGAATACGTTTGGAAAGCTGCAGCACGTTGGCTTCATGTGGAATAAGGCTGTTCATTTATGCCCAGTTGGAGCAGTTGCTTTCTACTGTTTGAGCGCTTTCATCTCAACTGTGAACCCTTTCCGTGTTTTCGAAGATCGGAGGATTGGTATGACATCAAGTTCCTACGTGACCGAGATCGAAACAAAGCCATTTCATACAACACTCACAAGAAAAGCTACGAGGCTGTATTCGAGCATCTCGGTCTTACGTTCAACAAAAATACTCATATCAACCGCCAGCAAGGCGTACGGCAGCTGGAGAGCGCTGATGTCGACATCTCTCAACACGCCGACATGGCCGATGGGGTCTTGACACCGTTGAGACCGTATACGCTGCTCCTCTGGGTCGGGAGGCGATTCGCGCTCTGTCAGGGCACCCGCCACGTTCTCGTCTTTATTACTTGGAGCGTGCCATTGTAGACCCGTCCAACGACCTCAAACAACAGGTTTTTCCTGGACTCGAGACTTACAAACAGAAGCTGTTAGATGGTGAGTGGGAATGCAACCTCGCCGCTCGAGGTTTCATTGATTTGCTGAAATTTTTACGCACCGTGTTGCTACAAGATGCTGCATTTTTATCTGACATCCTCCCAGCTCGATTTCGCCGCCATACTATCTTCAGTGGGCAGTTCCAACAGTTCCGCACTCAAGCACTTGCTAGTGCTCAGACGACACAGCACCCGGTGGAAATGCAGCTGCAATTTGCCATGCCAGTCCTGTCACAAGAAATCAGTACACAGCATGCAGCAACTATGCAAAGGTTAGAATCTCAGCACTTGGCTCTCGTTGACATGGTGAAGCAATCCCAAGATCAGCTTGCTTCATTTCTCCACGGCGATGTACTCTACCGACTTCTCCCCTTGTCTAACAACGCAGCTGACAGCGGTCCAAGCCAGCACCCTCTACGTGACAGCACTCCTATTTCTACCTTGGCTAACACAGCACTGCAGCAACAATTACATCGGTTAGAGCCAGTCGCAGTCCCCCAGCACAGCATGAGCCGACGAGTATCAACCGTACACGAGCTGTGGACAGAGTGGCACCATGGTCTCGCCAGCCAGCCTTCAATTGAATATCTGGTAGAAACATTTGGCACAAAATGGAGGGCGTCATCAAAAGAAGCAAAATTCTTTTCCAGGCGTCGATGTGTCATTAATCACGTACGCAGGCTTGTGAATGGGGGCCTCTCGGTTGAAGGTGCAATTGACAGAGCTGATTCCGAGAGAGGTGTGGTATCGGAAAATGGAGATTACCGGAGCGATTGCCCGTCGCCCAAGAATCAAGGTACAATGATCAAGGAGCAGTCAAGCGCGAGATGGAAGTGGCTGCTTTGGTTAAGCTGGCGACATTATCCTCGTTGGAGTGACAGGTAGTGGCCGGAGCCTCGTCGGGTCCTAATACAACCCCGAACGAGGCTTCATGGTACCCACTTTTAGGTACAGATGCATTTAGTTACGTACTTCGGCCGCACTTATTAGTGTAGCCGCGGTCGTCATTGATGTGTCCGGAATCGCCATATTGCGATCGTTCACACTAGAGATTTGTATAGGGACATAGGACTCATCATAGGATGGACAGAACGAGGCCCCCAGGGCCTCAGAAAACTCAGTAAAAACACAGTCTTCCCCCAAAGCCAACAAGGGTCAAGTCCGACTTCGGTAAGTGTAGCTAGCTTATTGTAGTGCCTGGACACGCTCGGCTGCGTGTGGATGCCTGTCGGGGAGCTTATCGTGCATTGACCGAGAGTTTCCTTGGCAGCGCCAAGAGTTGGCGTGACCGGAGAGGCAGGAACGGTATTAGAGTATCGTTCAGTATATATTTGTGGGATTAGAGTGTCCCTGAGTGTATTAGTCTACCTACCGAGGTTTTACCTTGGTACCCCTGTGTAAGGCCTAACACGCCGATACCCTTCCTTTCTGAGGGACTGCAGTGGGGTTGCGCGAAAGCGCTACATAGTATCCTAGCCTTAGCTCGTGGCTAGTGGTACAGGTTTTTGGGTTGACCGAAGATAACCTAAGGTGCACAGAGGCGCTTGCAACCGACCCGGTGTAAGGGATCGTTCCTGGTCTTCAGGTTTTGATCCAATAAGCGCTTACCTTTGCGGGTTAGCGTGTTGTTGGTGTCTCTAATACATTTTGGTCGAAGAGAATTTAAGTGGTATTACCACACCACAGAGGGAACAAGAGCATCGATAGTTATTCGAAATGGCTTCGCAGCAAACAGACATCTTAGCACAATCGCTTACATTTGCACCATGGTTCATTCGGCAGCTCAATTGACATCACTATCCGAGTAACAATACCATCATTTACATCGCTGCGTTAGTTGCCATAATTCATTTAGATACACTCAGCCTAGATTCAACTAGCGCGCTTACCTAAACAGGCCTGTCGGTGAGGCTGGACTTCGATCAGAGCCCCCTAGCACTTGGCGTCTTGGCCCCGGTCGGTACGATGGCGGTCAACGTGGCAGAGAGGCGGCGGCGATGAATGCGTACACTTCGCTGCGTGCCTCGTGGCCCAGGTTGTTGTTGCTCGAGGTGTTGTTGGTCGACGACGAGTAGTCGGACACAACGATGGGGACGGAGCCGCATGGCTCGGTGACAACGCTCAGGACGTGGCGCTGCACGCTGCACCCATTGAGGTACTGGAAGCTGAAGATCGTTACGAGGGCGCCGCCGGGCTGAGAATTACGCTCAGCATCACGGTGCAGGCGTACTTGTACGCCGTGACGTCGCAGTGTCCGCCCTATATGTCCACGACAACCTGTAGCATGTAGAACGTCACAATGAGCGGCTTTTGCCCACGATATACATGCCTTGGTACACAACCGTCAGCAGTACGTACATACATGCGTTCAGCAGGGCGGGCAGGCTTGCGTTCTCGAGCGCCATGTTGGCCAGCATGGCCGACGTCACAGGCCACGGGTAGCGGCGACCTTGAGATGAGTTAATGGCGCTCGGAGAAGGCTCGCCCAAAATTTATCAGCGAGACAGCCAATCAAATCGTAGTATTTGGGTCATGACCCAGCGACTGGTATTTCGAGGTAACACACCAAAAGCGGCTGGTATCTCCGGATATCAGGTCACTGGGTCATGACCGAGGCATGGCTTTTTGCATTTTACTTATCCCCACCGGCTCCAAATACATCAAACATTATCGCGACCGGTCCAACTTGAAGTAAGTAGTGATATATACATTTGATTGGTCTGTTATTTGAAGCTATGGTATTATAAAGGTCGAGGACGACCCGGTCCGAGGACGAGTTCTACACTTTGTGTTTTGTTGCCCACACTACTCTACAAGCATGGCGACAGGCAAGGTGAATCTAGTCGAGCGATTTGGAAGGGAGGGAATCAACAAACACGACGAGCAGATAGTTCATTCCGGTTACAAAAAAGTATTGGCATGCAAGTCGGAGGCGTTATGAGAATGGGAGGTTGCGCTGAGTAAGAAGCGCCCAACAAAGCGTGTCAACACGAAGCTCGCGTTCTGTCCTGCGGGTGCCTGGTTCGTCAGCTCGGCAAAACTGGTGCATCCGCCCGGCTGCAACTCTGTCGGCGAGTGTTCAGCTAAAAGATATGTTAGACTCTACATGTACCTCCGTGCATGCTTATTACGCCACATAATTACCTTGCTTACTTCACTTCAGGCGCGACGTAGCTCGTGAAAGCTGACCGCACGACTTGCCACTAGAGGCAGATGAGATGCTCGCAACAGCCTCGATCACTACAACGATAGAAGCAAGAAGTTAGGGACACAGTCAGTAACTTTGATGCAGGTACAGATCTGTCGAGGGTCATCCACGTGCCTGTGCATCGGGCAGCAGTAGATTTAACTTACGATGGTTCATCCATCCATCAAACTGCAGTCTGCGGTTGAGCGCTGTTAGCTCAAGCACCACATCATGCCTTACAACACAGGTTCTATGCGCAAACATTGCATAACATGTGTAAGTTAGCAGGTCGAACTTTAATCGTTCGTATTCGAGGACCTACCAAGCGCTGAGCTCACGCTGACGGTTGCAACAACAGCGACGAAGCAAAGCAGAGCCCTATGCCACCGCCGCATGGTCGAAGCGCCAGTGTGGGTGATACCATTACTCGCCTCCTTCGGGTAGCGCTCCTTTGACGGCACTCCTGTGACTGGACTCCTTTGCCAGAACACGACTGCACTACTTTTTGCTCAGCCTTCTCTGGCCTGTCCTATAAGCTACTACCAGATGATATCACTACTTTCTTCAAGTTGGGCCGGTCGCGATAATGTTTGATGTATTTGGGGCCGGTGGTGATAATTATCCACTATTGGCCTGCTCCGCTGATCTCCTCGCTGCTCCGCAGTACCCGTGGCGACGAAGACTCCACTCCCCACCGGTTATTTGGACCCTTTGGCTCTTGTTTCGATTAAGTACGAAACAATAGACCAAAACAATATTGTGGAGAGTGTTTGAAGGAAATGGTTAATAACACCCTGTCTCTGTAACAACCCGAATCTTTTCGCACTTTTGGATGGCAAGTGTAAATTTCCAACATTTTCAAATCAACCTAAATTGGTCTAGCTTAGAGTTCAAAGGAAAGACCCGATCAAGAAATGGTAGATGCAGCCTTTGTAGACTCGCAGCACTGAAAATGGATGAGATACGATGGATCAAAGAGGCGAGACCTGATATGATTCTCGTCAATGAGGCCCTTCGTCGACGCATATCGCAACAAATGTATGACATTTTGACCATAACCCGTCCATTGTGGGCATAAAAAAACTATTATGTAGCCATAATGGACAGAAAAGGCACATTTCATTTACACATTTCGGCAGATTTCGTAGTTCCTTGCCCATTCATACCTTCTACTTGCGCTACGAAGGCGAAACTTCACAGTACATATTTTTATGCTGTCAGCACACTATGTGCCAAATTTCAGCTCAATCTGAGCTCTCAATCATAGGGCTTGTCATCTGGGGGGTGCGGGCAGGCTGGGATACCGCGTGTTAATAACTAATATACGCTATGAGATTGTTAGTTTTTATTAGCCGATGCGTCAAAGTCGCCAAGACGAAGGTCGGAATCGCGTCTGGCGAATAAGTCCCCATACTAACAAATTTGAATTTGAATTTGTTGCGGTTTAGACGGCTAACTACACCCAATGCCGCGCACTGCTGCAGCGTCGCCTACGGATCACGTGCCTCCAGGGCACGAGCCCGCGGTAGTAGCCCAAACACACGGGCACACCTCAATCAAACGCCACTACGGCATGTGACCAAAGCATACCCCTACGATATCCAAGTGCTAAAAGAAATATAAACCCCTCCTCTCGCGCTTCGTCGATCCGGAGTTCACCACCTCCACGCGTCCCCCCAACACGTCGTTCACCGTTGCCCGCCGCACGTCTTCGCAATCTTCTCGCACTCCATCGATCCGGCGTACACCACTGCACCACACTCGTCGGAATGATATCCCAACACCACCATTGCCCCGAAAGGCAGCATGACCAGCAGTCTGCTCTCTCTCCGCTGTCGTTTGCTTCGTTGTTACCGTTACACCATGGTTTGCTTCTGCGTTGCTTACCGTCTTGCTTAACCTGTTTCGTCACTAGGCCGACACCCTTCGTCGACCCTGACCACCTTGAAGATGCCATTGCTGTCGTCTTGCTCCTTCCTGGGCTCCCGAGGGAGGATTCCTCCCAGGAAGGCCAAGGACCCGGAGATCCTTGGAGGCGACCCCTCACACTTCTCCACGACCCGTCAAATTTTGGAATCCCCCATACTAACAAAAATAAATTGATTGATACCTTAACTAGCCTTCTGTAGACCTTCTCACTACATAATCCCAGTGCACAGGCTGACGACATCGTCGTGGTACTTCGTGCTGAATCGTGCTTGGGATTTAAACGGTCATATTAAACCCAAGCAGGAAAGCCACTAGGTGAACCAGCCAGTCTGGGGTGCCGTGAAAAAGCTCCTTCAGCTGTTCCTGGAGCGTGCTGATCATCTCAGTGAGACTGGGCAAAGTGATTCGTTCTTCTTCGTCAGCAACAGCGTTTGCTTTCGCGAGCTGGACGTCAGAAGCCTTGATGGAGTTGTCAGTCCTCAGGTAGCGCATTTCGGTGGGGAGTGGAGCGTTAACAGAGGTTGTATCACCAAGACGGTGTTCCTTGGCACTCGCATCTACTGCAGTTGCCTCGTCCAAGAGAGCGAGGAGAACCAACGCGGTGAGGAAGGCCCTGCGGAGACCCATCGTGGAGCTTGAATGGCAGGATGGAGAATCAGTTGTGACCCGAGCTCTCCAATTCGAGCGCTTGGTATCGCGTGGTGGACAGCTCCATCACGAAGGGCTCCGTATCACAGCACGCGAATTATAAATTCGGTACACATCAGAAAGTGGAGTGGGGATTTGTCAGGATTTGTCACTGCATACGGCATTCACGAAGATGGTCCATGACAACACCATTCGCCTCTAACATGGGAAATGAACCGGCTCATTCGAATGTGTCAACCTCGGTGGCAGTACCCCCACCATGTATAAGACACAACCCGTCATCAACTGCACGCCTCCTGCATCCTGACACGGCGTATCGCAGATCTCCCCCGTGTTATTTACAGCAACTCGACCCGGCCGCTGCTCTTCGTTGGCATCCTTCGAGGACACAGCGAACCGCATGTCGATGGCACGCGCTCTGAACTTTAGCTTGACTTGGGTAGCCTGGGCGACTGCATTTCTTCACTCCACCATGCGCAGCGCACTTGCCGTTCGAAAGCGAGCGCCACGTGCAGCCGGCATGAGAGCACACTGGGCTCACAGAATGGCCCTTACACTTGTCCTGGCACTTGGCTCGCTTGGTACACCCCGGCTCGGAGCATCGTCTGCCACCTCCGTGAGAGAAGCACTTGTCGTTGGATAAAACTTGGTACGAGCAACCCGGGTATGTGCAGATCCGTACTCCACCATGTCTGCAGCACTTGCCTTCACGTAAAACTGCGTTCGGATATTCAGGAACAGAGCAGCGCCTTTTTCCGCTAGCCGTTCGCCTTACATTGCTCTTCTCCCCGCCCTCTGCTTCCTTGCGAGAGCCAGTCCACGATTCCCCCGGAACTTCGTTGAATGACAGGGCCACATTTGAGTCGCTTGGTCCTGTCGGAGGATGTCCTGGGGCCAACGCGATCGGCATCACAATACCGTCGGCTGATGTCACCTCATCCCCAAACAAAAACGTATTCGCATCCCCTGTGGTCTTCAATACGCTGGAGCGGCCATGAACAAGGGACATCACGCTTCCAAGTCGCCACCATCGTAGCGTAGACTACAATGTTTAAGCTCACCGGCCACTGTTCTTATCCGGCAAATGGGAGGTGAGTATTGGGTATGATTTTTGAGGTCAGCTCGTGTGAGTTTTCCATGGTACACACAAGAAACTCTTGCCGGAGCCTTGGTCAGCTACATACAGGTTGTATACAGTTGAATGGAGCACACAAGGATTTAATTCTTCTCACACTTCTATACAACCCACAATAACGTTTGTTTCCGGCCCTCGACAACTTGCTCGTCATCTTCGATGGTGTACAATACAAGCTTGTCCTGGACTGCAAGATTTCACTGTTTCGTATGTCGTCAGCACAACTCGCGCTTTAGCTTCTCCATGAGTCGTCCATACCTAAGTTTATCTCCCATTCTCCCGACCTAAAAACTATTGTGCCTCTAAGCGAGTATCGATCCCCAAAGTTTTAAGAATGAACTCGATCGAGTACTTCGACACGCAGTAGCTTGCTAACCCGCACCTCCATGTATTAAGCACAACCCTTCGCAACTGCACGCCTCCTGCATCTTTTCTCCGAGCATGTATGCCCTCCCCCGTGTTTCTTATAGATTTTTGACTCGTTGGTAGCTCGTAGTTGACACCCTCCAAATGCACAGCGAGCCGCGTGTCGAGAACACAAGCCCATAACATAAACACGATTTGAACAGTCTGGATAGCTGCACTCCTTCCTCCCACCATGCGCAGCACACCTGCCTTTCGAGACCGAACGACGCGTGCAGTCTTCTTGAGCGCACAGTTGACGCACACCATGACCTTTGCACTTGCCCTGAACCCTGGCTTGGTTGATACACCCTGGCTCAGAGCACTGTGAGCCGCCTCCGTGGGCAATGCATTTTCCTCTGGTCAAAGCTTGGTGTGGGCAACCCGGGTGTGTGCACATCCGCGCACCACCGTGAGCAGGGTTGTTTTTTTTGGGGTTGGGCTTTTTGGGTAGTGGGATTTGGTGAAGCCCCCCCCCCCCAAATGATAAAGTGCTGATGGATTTGTGGCCCCTTTTGATAAAGATCCCCGGTGAAGCCATCGTACAGCGTGTCGGCAACCTGGTTGACAGCGACGCCTGCCGGTATTGAAGATTCGGATCGAGTCGGGGTAGATCTCGTCTGTGTCGCGCGCGCGCATCGTGCGCGCTTCACCTGGTTACGCTGTAAGCGCTGCTCTTCTTTTATTTGAGCCCGGTGTTGGTTTCTTAACCCTTTAGCTACGAGGCTTCGTACGGGTCCAGTCTGACCTATACGACAGCTCATAATTGACTACAATTGGCTGTAATACATTGTACGGGCTAGGTAGCAGCTCGCAGAGTCAGCCAACAGGTCCAAGCGGACCTGTACCATAGCCACATGTAAGCAAATCAACAAGCTGGTGCGTACCGATATAAGACTCGGGCAGGTTCTCTTCTATTCTACAACTATCGAGCGGCAAATCACACGAAAACCGAAATCCATAAGTACAGGTTTGTTGAGGGGTTGACCAGAGCTGCCATTGGTCTAAATGGTCCGAAACCGCGTTGTGGTTGGTTATGGTACATGTCCAGGGGGACCTACACTGCAAAGCTCGTAGCTAAAGGGTTAAGCAGATTTTACGCTAGAGGTGTCGCTTGAGCGAAGACGCACGGATGAAGTAGTCGTTGCAGCGAGGACATCTTGCAGGCATAGCGCTTTTGCTTTATGAGTGTGGACAGCCCTCACACTTCATGCTTTGTCTTCGCTGTCTTATTCTTCTCTTGGCCACCTTAGAACCAACACTCGCATTAAAGCCTCAATTTGGTGTGGCTCACACATCTGCTTTAATTGGACATAATCATGGTTTTAAATCCTTGATTGGACAAAAGTATTAGGAGTGCGTGAGTCATACGAAAATCGTCTGAAAAACCTCAAATTCCAGCGAGCTATATCAACGTCTCTAGTATGCCTACAAGCCCACCAGCTACATATACGTGAAGAGCACTGTTTAGGCTTCATGTACATATAATTTTGTGTAATATCGCTGAAAATTAAAAACGTTACGCAAAAAAAACCAAACCGTACCCAATTTAGCGAATTGAAACAGAGCTCTATTCTCTTTATTTTTGCCGTTTAGAAGCAGCCAATAGGAGTGCTGGAACGGGCAAAAGCTCAGCTTTATTTTGCACTATTGCTCATTCTAACAGTGGTCGACAGCATCGAGGATCCATAGGCTCGTAACTTCATCAATATTTAGTCAATTTTGATAAAAATAGAACCAGTCTCTTCAGCTCATTGAGCTTTATCTATGCTAAAAACAGCATAACACAACGAAAAATGGACGGACCAAAAGTGGCCTCGAAAGAATTGACCAAGCCCCTACTAGCTTTTCAGCCAATCCGTGCATTAGATTTGTACTATCTGTAGCGGATCTTTTAGATTTGAGCGACCCCCACAAATTATCATTTTCCGGTGAACTTGACGCATAATCCGGTTGTTAAAACCCGGGTCTAAAACCCACCCACCCTAGCAAGCTGTCACATTTCTTGAACAACACTGGCCGTGAGCGGTGCATTTATTCTTGAGTACCGTACCTCGTCCGCAAAATCAATCTCCCAGTAGTAGTTGCCGTCTCTAGTAAACCAAGGTCGTACCAAAATTACCGTTAAAAAGCTCTCATTTTCTTCAAAACTGCTTTCTTCTTGTTCAATATTCAGCAGTTATACGCGTTTGGATTGGCTAAAACTACGTATCAATTTCAAAATAATTGCCGAAGGTTGTGAAATAGCAATCTAACTGTTAACCATTCTTTCTGTGAAGAGGTTTCGACGGAGCCGTATGACATTCAAGAACTTGCACATGTCCTGAATTTCACTGCTCGGTCGGGCTATTCTTTTGTCTGATTTGATGCGGTGCAGGGTTTAGTTTGATATCTTTCATTCGCAATAAAACAGAAAAATATTTTTCTTTGGTTGCCTTGCACGATGGCGTTGCTCATGATGTGAATGATAGCAAGTGTGTGTAGTAACAAAATATCACACGCTAAAAACCATCAAATCACACGCGGAATACCCGGTACACGCGCAAAACAGCGGGCGCACGCGGAAAACCTGAGCGGCATCTCACACGCGGAAAACCCACGCGGAAAAAAGCGCCGCTCTATTTTTATCGGAGCTCGAAAAAATATAGTTCATCGCTACTATCAATACTGAGAGCAACTCACTTTTCTTCCATTTCCATCGCGTAGTCCGCCGGGGGAGGGGGGCATGGGAGATGGTGGGATTTGTCTCGCGACCACTTTGACCACATTTGACCACAATGTTGTCTCGATGGTACGTCTCGATGCTGGTGGAAAAACAGATGTGCTATGAATGTTAGATTTTTATTGCTATACGCTAAAGAACTCTGTTATCGTACGAGTAGTATTCTTCTTCGCTAGCAAACACGCCAGGATTTTGAGACCCTTCACCGCACTTTAAGTGCTTCTGGCGGCAGCTCGAACACGAAGTCGCCTTGCTAGCTGGAGCGAGAGGTGGAGCAATGCTGTCAGATATCTCGTTGCGGCTACTCGCTGGTTTGGGGCCATTTTTCTGCTGTTCGACGTCGTTTAAGGCGGCAGCGTAGTTGATTATCCGTGAGGTTCGCGTCAGGGTAATATTTCTTCAGCTCCTGCTGCAGCAATATATATTTTCCACGAGTATACACCAGCGAATCAGACAGTTTACGCAACTCAGCCAAGTGCTCTGGTGCGATAGTAGATGGCCGAGGCCGTTTTGCTGGAACACTTGATTGTCCTGCATCTTCACCAATCCCAACAGTGTCACGACGAATATCCAGCGGTTGTAGTCTTGCTGGAGGTGCGTCGTCTGCATTTCCGCTAGTTGTAGTGGTCGAAGCATCGATGTCATCGTTCGCTGCAGTTTCTTGATCTTTAAGCAGAGTAATTAATGGCTCGGCTCGTTTTTCTTCTTCATCACGGGCTGGACAAGATAATGGAGCGTCTGTGGGGTTCGTGACCATCGCTAGTTTCCTCTTCTTACGGTTTTTGGCCGCCTTCAGCGCTTCCCAGCGCTTCTCCCGCACCGATTCATCACGTTGACCAATTCCAGCGCAGACACAACTTGCAAAGTCGTAGATACGGTGGGATAATCGTTTACGAGCTGTGCCGGCCTTGAACTTTCGCAGAATCTTGAAGACATCGCGCATCAAATCAGCCTCGCAGTCTATCGGTGAACGCAAAACCAGGGAAACAGCTTCTTGAGGATCAATATGGAATATTTTTGCTTGTTTTCGAGCGGAGCTTGTACTTTCAGGATCAGCATCAAGTGATTTAATTTTGAGACCATCGTAGCATAGCTCCGCTGTTGTAGCCGTATTTTAGGGTTCGTGTTGTTGCAAACAACAATATTGAACATCATCGTTGTTATCATTTCACACGTGCACCATTCACGCTTACTAGCAGCCTGCTCGCTGCGCAGCTGCCTGAGCAGCTCGTGTTCCTCCGTAGAGAAGCCCTGGTTGCCTTCACACTCGGTACTTGCCAGTCGAATAGAGTTAAAAAAAACTCGTCACGCTTCAGCTTGGCCGATTGGAGTAACGGCATTTTTCAACAGCAGTTCTGCTACTGTTGAGCGGTGTTGCCGGGAGCGATTAAGATTCCCTTCGAGACATACCTGTGCTCAGGAGTCAAAGTCAAAGTCCCGCTTCGGTCTCCGTTCTATACTGCGGGGGTACAAGCGGCGAAGAGAAAAGCTGCATCACATACTCCATCTGAGGCGAAGTAGGGACCATCGTTCCACAGAGTAATGCAGTATGGCCCGCCGACATCAAATCAACGCCATTCATGGGCGGATTGCGCCCGAACTTAGCACCGATAGACAAATTATGCTTGACGATAAACCAAGCTAAGATCCGCAAGCCAACATCAATGGATACATTTCTGGTAAGCAGGTTTTTTGAGGAAGAGTGAAAGCCCTCAAGTTGGCTAGTAGATACCACGCGAACTCGATGACCGCCTTCCTCATTAGTGTTTGAGCCCACGTACAACTCGCCACGCTGAATCTGCTCCAAATTACTCTGACACGACCCTTTCCAATCTTTCAGGCTGCACGATACACTTGAGTGCAAAACACCGCTGACTACACTTTGAAATTGAATAGCCATTTCAGCAGTAGGGCGCATTCACGATCCACATTGTAGATCGCACGGGAGAGTTCCTTTGAAATTCGTTTGCTGGTGACGGGTGCCTTTATTTTTCAGTGATGCGAGTTATCACGTGAAAGGGGTCCTGTTTTGTGACCACCTCGCTACCAATCGCTTCTGTGACCATTTTCTTGACAGCCGACGCGTTATCCGACACAACTACATGATCCAGGTCATCCCCACAAGGCGCACGAAACTGCGACTTCACATGTTGAAGCAAGGCTCGTGTTTCTTCCTTGTTTTCAGACCTGGTCGGCCGCCGCCCAATAATCTGTCCAATTTCATTCTGGAACAGCAAAAGCATTCTCGCATCTTTGAGAGATTCACGTTGCCCCTTGGCCTTCCGCAGCTTTAGCCGCTTGCAGAACTTGACAGAGTGATCCATTCTCATGACCCTCTTTACAACACAATCTTTCATCACTTTTTCACACAGCGACCCGTACAGCTCTATAGCGTGTAGCCATGCCGTCGTAAGCGTGTGATTGTCAACAACTTTGTTTTGATCTGCATACTGATCCTCTGATATTGGAGTGGGGGCCAGATAGGTGAAGCAACGCTCGTGGTTTCGCTTGATACCACTGGAAAACAGACCCAAAAGCTTGTAGTAGCGCTGTTTGCGCCTACGCTCCATATTGGCCATGGTACGTTGCAACCCATCCTGCGCGGTAATACCGTCATGAACCATCTCCATGAGTGAGTTCGAGAACACTAGCTTTTGGCTCAGAACAAATGGAAAGTGAAAAATCATATCGGACCATTGTGCAAAGTAATCCGAGCTCACAATGGAAAAATATGATCCTGTTACAGCGCACCTACACTTCACAAATACCAGGTCGCACTTGCACTCCACAGATTCCACCACTCGACGGCAATAGTCATTCACCTTCGGATTGCAGTTGCAGTCTCGGACGGCAGACCTTTGCCTCCTCGATACTCCGGGATCCACACGAACAACGGACGTGAAAACGGCCGCGACAACTGCATGTCATCCACCTTTTCCTCAGGATAAACTAGACGGGGAGGGAATGAGCGCCGTCCAACCGCCTCGACCACTGCTGCCTTGTTATCATTGCGCGCTGCTGACAAGGCCATGCCTACTGCGAACTCCTCAGCTACAAGTTCTCGGTAAATAAAGGGAAAACGGCTGCGCCCCTCCGGGGCTGCGGCCGGAGTTCGGAGATCTCACCTAAATTTATCGGAGTTCGGGGGCCTGTCGGCCCCCGAATCTCCCATAAACCCCGGAGGGGGGGGGGTACCTTCAACTTCAGGGGTTGTAGGAGTTGGGTCCCGAGCCGCTCCAAATTCTGAACTAAGCAACAAGAGCACAACTAACTGGCAACTTGCGTACGCCTTCCCAACCCTTCTCGTTCACCAGCTCCACCTTGTAAACTCGGTCGGCCCGTCGCAGTCGCTCCTCCGCCGTAAACGCAGATACCAGCGGCAAACAGCATGGACGCCTTGACGAGAAGTTGCATCACCCACACGCTGTCCTGCAGCCCTTCGATCAAAACGCCGTCGCCGAACTGGAATGCCGCCAAAGCCAACGACGACCCCAACGACGACGAGTTGAAGCGTTGAATTGCAAATTGTGTCTAAAGTCGCTTAAAAAACGGGCTACCATGCTCAGCAGAGAGATTAAACTGAGAGATAAACTGTCGAGGCTTGCACACAACTCCTCCGTCAAGTGGTGCGTCCATTTTTTCGGACATTGACGGGTCGTTGTTAACTCCAGCTGCACGGGGATGTAGCAGCCTTGAGGTCCAAGTCACGGATACGCTCTAGGAGAGGATGCATCTCTTTGAGTAGCTCAAGTTGTCGCCTGATGAAGATAGCGGCAACACGTCTCATGAGCAGACTCCGCCCTTGAATCTGACTCAATGACGCCATGAACTGGCCGACATTGAAGTGTCCTCGCTCACCTGGTGCGCGCGCGATTACAAGCTTGCAGCGTGGATGAGAATGCGCGCGCAGAGAATTGCACGACTTGAGCAGCAGTAGACCCATTGCTGTGCGAGAGCACGCGACTAACGAGATAGGCGACGAATGCGGGGAGATGGAACCACAGTGCCCTCGCCCAGTGCAGTATAGCGAAGTTCACTGCCAGGAACAGGGGCTGGTGCGTGTTGAAGAAGAAATTGTACATCTTCGGCCGGATCCACGGAATCAACGTGACTCCGATCAGCAGGAAGCACAGCAGCGCAGCCTTTCCGAACCCATTGGTCGATACTTTCCTCCCCGTCCGCTCACCGATCGAGCAGTCTCAACACGTTAGCGCCATTTGCTGCCATCTCCCCTCCGGCAACCAGCAGTCGTAGTAATATCCGCAGTGCAGTCAGAACAACAGCAACGCCGAGTACTTGATGCCGTTCGCGTATATGTTGATAGCCTCCATCCACGCGCTCTGTTGCGTGTAGCTGGCAAGAAGAGCAGCGCCATGTTGAAGACACAGTTGAAGCCCAACGCGTCTTCCGACCATGTCACGTATTGAGGAGACGGAAGCTGATAATGCCTCCCAAATATGTGCCCAAATCGCCCCAAATGTCCCAAATAATGAATTGTCTCTGTAACATTTAGGTACATATTTGGGGCCAAGTATATGACTGCTTTCTCGTAAAACTATCCCAAATATGTACCAAAACGGAGTTGACTGATTATGGTCTATAGTCTATGGGCGAGGGCGAGTGGACGCGAGCGCGAGCCTCACTCGATGCATTCACTAATCGCCAACACCCGCCGATTAGGCGGGGGCGTGTCTGTGCGAGCGAGCGAACGCGAGCGCTGCAACCCGATATTTTTTTTTCTAGACACCGCGCCTGGCCGAGACGAGGAACTTAGCGTAAGGGACAAGGGGGTGGGACAGGCCGCGCAGCCGCGCCCCCCGAGCGAAGCGAGAGAGGGGTGGGCCCCCCGCAGACCCGTCGCTAAGTTAGCAGACGAGAGCCAACGCGCGAGTGTCCTCTGTGCTGCTCTTTCATACTGAAGGTTATTCTGTCCTAAATATGTACCAAAACGTTCCCATGGTCTTAAATCATTTGGGAAAAACTTTGGGATTTGGGGCGTTTTCGGGGTGCATTATCCAATACCGAGGAGACCCTGGCGGTGGAGGGGGCTGAGGGTGTGGTGGGTCTCCAGTGAATCGCGGCTTCGCTTGGCATACCCGTACCAAAAGACCAGCGCGCGGCTGCTAGTGAGGTGGATTCCTTTTACACATGAAGCGAGTATGGACGAGAATTACCCATTCGTCGGCAGCGCCAGTCAGTAGCACTACAGTTTTCTCACATATACCGTTCGGTATAGTCCGCCGCTCGTATCCGAGGTACTGCCCAAACAAAGTCCAAGTGTTAGTCACCACGCACAGCTTTCGCCACTCCCAATCCTTTGGTGCCGCGTACCGCTTGGCTTCAAACCTGCATGCAAGTTACCAGTACAAAATTACCACAGCGATTCATACAGAACCAAACATCCAATGTGCAACCGACGCAGGGGTCATCGCGCTCTATTAAAGCTTCGACACCTGGAATAACTTCTCCTACTTGGGGAGCGTCTCCATGACGCTCTTAATGTGCGGCGGGTAGAGCTTGGAGACGGCCACCTGGCGGTACAGCACGCCCGCCTGCTCGCGCGCGAACTCGAGTGCCTTCTCCTGCTCGGGGCTGCCGGCCTGCAGCGTCTTGTTCTTGCGGAAGTCCTCCTTCACGCGGCGCGTGGCGTAGCTGCGGAAGTTGTAGGTCTGCAAGTAATAAATAGTTAGTAAAATATCCGATACTTTAGTAAAACTCAATTTTAGACATGATTCCGTGCGCTTCGGGCACTGAATGACATATCAACACGTAGCGGAGACGCAGGGCTACACGACACGCACCTCGAACTTGGCCGCATTGCGCAGCATCTCGCGGTACAGGCGCAGCACGGACGACGACGACGCCATTCTCCTTTGTTCGGTTGCGGTGAGTGACTTGGGTGGCGGATTTAACACTGAGCGATCATTGGCTGCGGATCGACCAATGGGAGGCGGAGCGTAATCCACTGACCATCATTCCTCGCAACACTTGCAAATTGTATGCCATTTCTGATTCCTGACTGTAATGGAGACTCTATCGGCGTCTGCGGTGACCTGCATCTGCAGCTTCCTGACGGGGCTGGACGCGCTCTCGCTGTCGCACTGCAGCTCCTTCTGGCTCAAGCAGCTGGACGCGGCTCCGCTGTGGCAGTCGCGGCTGCCGGCGCTGCCCGACGCTCTCCACGCCGCCGCGAACAAGGCTCTGTATCAGCGTACGCGGTCATTGGGATTCACAGGTCTTGCAATATCTAAACTTCACATCCTTGTGCGTCTGATTCATACGCATCAATTCTCAGAGTATCAAGTAACGCGGGGAACCACTTCAACTATCAAGTTTGAGAGACTACAGCTTCAGCTTCGACCTGTGGTTCGCGCAAGACCCCGACGGAGCTTATACCGGCGGCGTCCTCTACGGTCTGCAGTCTGTCCAAGCCGAGAGTCGAAATTGGCCGCAGTTCCACCAGCAGTTCGTGCTCGTCAGTGCCACCAGGGACTTGTACTGCTCCGTGATCGATCACCGCCCAGTCGTGAAGAGCGACCTGCAAGTTGAGAGATTGTACCATCTCGCTCTGAGCTACGACCGCATCAGTCAACGGAGCAAGGATCCGCTCGGACTCGGGCGCGTTGCACCGTGAGATGGAGTTTCTGAGGCACGAACAGGTCGGGACTGGATGCATCACGGCCAATGAGCTTCATTTCCCCAAGCCCGGGTACTTGGGCTGGTACGGGTTTCATGGGCTTATCGACGAGTTCCGAGTGTGGGGTGACGTCTTGACGGAGGGAGATGTGGTTGAGTTGGCTCGAGGGCAGAATGGGGTGGAGAAGGTGATGATCGGCACGTTAAAGCTGTCGGGAAGAGCACCGTGGAGGTCGAGGTGGAATGTCAGTGAGGTTCGCTGCTCCAGGCCGGTGGAAGGGAAGCAAGTGGACATGGCCAAGTGCAGCAGCAGGAGGCGAATTGCAGTTGTACGACCGGAGCAGCTACCGGCAGATACGATCGAGACGCTGTGCAGCTTCTTGGCCGGCTTTGATGCGTTTAATCTGTCGCACACGAATTCCTGGTGGCTGAACTATTTGGCGAGCGGGTCTCTATGGGGAAGTTGTCTGCCTGAAGTGACACCAAGAGACGAGGATGCAGTAACCAATTAGAAGGAGCAGTACATGCTGTCGCGCTCGATGGTTTTCCGGGGGCTCCAGGGTGACGACGACCGTATGCATACCTCAACTATGCAGGGGACGAACAGCGGCGACGCTCGCAGTTCCGACTAAATTTTCTCGGAAGCGAGAGCTTTAGCTTCGACGTGTGGTTCAGTTTGCTGCCAGGTGGAGAGGGTCACCACTTCGGCGGCATTATCTACGGTCTGCAATCCACGAGTCGCGAGAGCCGCCAGTGGCCGTATTATCACCAACAGTTTGTGCTTGTGAGCTCCACGGGCGACTTGTATTGCTCAGTGTTGGACTTCAGGCCAGTTGTTGCGAGCAACTTGGAGTCGAATCGGTGGTATCACCTCGCTCTCACCTACGACAATGAAAAGCAGAGGCAAGACGTGTACCTCAATGGCGAGAAAGTTCACTCCAATACCGGCGCACTTCATCACGATTGGGGCTATTTATCACACGAGCAGGTGGGGTCGGGCTGTATCACCGCTGGAGACCTCAATTTCCCCCGTCCGAAGTATCTGGGCTGGTACGGCTTCCATGGTGTTATCGACGACTTTCGCATCTGGAATGGAGCAATGTCGCAGGATGATGTAGCGAGGCTCGTGCGTGGGAGAAGTCTCCAAATTGAGCGACTGCGAGCTTCCTTGAAGACAAATGGAGAGCGTCTAGTGCGTCCTCTTTTCACGTGGGTTAACGTGCAGTTGACAATGTGCACTCGCCCTGCTGAAGGACGAAGCATGCAGCAGGTGAAGTACCAGTCTTCTTCGCAACCTAACTGTGTGATCTCGTAAACAGGCTCTATATAAGCTCGCGAAGCAAGTTCTTAGCCTGCGCTAAAAGCGTCGAGTCGCGATAATAAGAACGAAGGAGGTCTCGAGACGAGAAGATTTCATGTGGCTGAAGCTTGCAGCCAAGTACAGAGTATGGATGCCAAGCAGACTAGAACTTTTAAGCATGGATGCAGAAGGCGCGTTCGAGCTGAGCACGTGGGCAGACGACGGGGCCGAACCTTGCAACCGAGACGTGTTCGTCCTATTTGCGAGAAGTGAGTCGGCGAGTATCGTGTCGCCGATAGCTTCAGATTCTGCTGCTGAAAGTTGTGACTCGGACGGGTTGACGGAGTCGCAACGTGTAGCTGGCACATCGGGAATGCACACCAAAGCTCTTGGTAAGCGACGGCATAGAGGTGGGGACGAAGGTCGCGCTTCAGGACCAGATCATATGAAAGCCTCCGAAGATCAGGGAAGGAGCTCGTGCCCGCGTCCAGGATGCGTGATGGGAATCGAAGACGAAGGCGTTGCCCTCAGCGTCGCGACGAAGTCCAATTTCTTGGGATCGTCTCGAGGCATGGTGCACTTGACGAAGGTTTGCAACCGTTTTCTTCAGAAAGCATTGAAGGTGTCTCCAGATGTGAAGCGGACCGCGTCTGGACCACGTCAAAGGAGCTATTTTCCAGTACGATAGAGAACAAAGGTGGTGTCGAGGGCGCACAAGTGAACACGAAATCCAAGTAAGTCGTTGTGTGTTGAACCTTAACGGCAGTTCTCATCACTGTCACTTTGCGAATTGAATCGTCCTTCCTTCAGCTGGTCGAGTGCACTTGGCCAGTTGCACGTTGCGCTGTAGCTTCCTTTGCGCGATACTTGGTGAGTTCAGCTTCGCTGAAGCTCGCAGTCTTTCGGCCTCCAATTCGCCACCAGTAGCTAGCAGCTTCACGTCGTCTCCAGATACAACGCCTCTCCAGACTCGGAAGGCATCGACGACACCGTGGAATCCGTACCAGCCAATGTAGCCTTGGTAGGGGCAGTCGAGCGAGTCTGAAGTAACGCAACCAGTCCCCACTTGTCCAGAGGTCAAGTGGCTCCATTCATGGTGCCGTGATCCCAAGACCGACCAGACCTTAGCTCCATCCAGATACACTTCTTGGCGCTGGTGGTCATGATCGTAAGTCAGCGCGACGTGATACCACCGCTTCGACTGTAAGTCACTCGCCACGGCGTGTTTACCAGCGAGCACGGAGCAGTAGAGCTCTCCACGGGAGCTGACCATCACAAACTGCTGGTGGTAGTGAGGCCATTGATAACATTCGCGGCTGGAACTCTGCAGGCCGTAGAGGATCCCACCGAAGTCTTCCTCGTGGCCGGCAGCAGACTGAACCAGAGATCGAAGCTGAAGCTCTCGCTCCTCAGGTGCGTCAACTGGAAGTGCGACGAGCGATGCAGATCTCGTCGACGCTGCTCACCTCGGTACGTCAAGTACACGAAGGCATCCAGCTTCTCGCTTTCGCCGTTCACCTTGAGAGCCTTGAACAGCATGGACCTCGACTGCATGTACCTCTTCTTCCAAGGATCTTGGATGTGCACGACACTAATTGGTCCCTGAAGACGTTTTTGCCAGAAGGAATCGTCCGATAGGAAGTTACTCCACCACGAGTTCGTCTGGGATAAACTCAACGCGTCGAAGCCCGTCAAGAGACTGCAAAGACACTCGAGGATGTCGGCAGGAAGTTGCTGTAGGGAAATTCTGGCGACGCGACCGACCGCTTCCATCTTGGAGACGCGTGGAGGATCGAGGAATGAGCGAGCGGTCACGACGCCGAGCGGTCTCACTTTACTACGGCAGTTGTGTACCCACAGAGCCCTTGAGATCGACCTCGGCCTGCTCGGTTGGTCTTGTGCATGATATTACCTGCGCGTTCACCCACCGGTCCTCCGAACACATCAGTGACGCCACGTGCGACTTCATCGAGCCTCGCAGCCGCTTGCTTGTCTTCCTTCCACCACAGGCGAGCTCTGCTACTTCCTCAGCAGCCAACGCTCCTTCCCAAACTCTGAACTCGTCCATGATGCCGTGGAAGCCGTACCAGCCTAAATGGCCTCGGTACGGGAAGTCGACGTCGCCTCCAGTGACACAGCCCGTCCCCACTTGTTCATGCGTGAAGTGGCTCCATTCTTCATGCAAAGCCCCAGTGTCCGATCGAACGCTATCTCCATCGAGGTACACGTCTTGACGTTGCCGGTCGTGGTCGTAGGTCAGTGCGAGGTGATACCATCGATTGGGCTTGACGTTATTCGCCACCACTGGCTTGACGTCTAGCACGGAGCAGTGCAAGTCTCCCGAGGCGTTCACGACCACGATAGGCTGATGAAAGTGCGGCCACGGACGACTGTCGCGCTTGGCGGACTGCAAGCCGTATAGGACCCCGCCAAAACACGCGTCGGCAGAAGCTGGTAGGAGACTGAACCACACGTCCATGCTGAAGCTCTGAGAGCCGAGACTGGCCAAGTGAAAGTGCTGAGGCTTGTCTGGCTGCTGCGTGTCCATCAGATAGGCGAATGAATCCAAGTGGAAGTTGTTCCCTGCCGTTCGGCCTCCGAACAGCAGCGACGGTGCCACCATTTGCCTCTTGGTCCACGTTTGCGTTGACCCCAGTTGCCGCTGCCAGAACGAGCCGTCCGCCACGTACTTGAACCACCAGGGACTGGTGTGGGATAACCTGTAGGCGTCGTGTCCAGTCAAGAAGCTGCTCAACAGCTTGAGAGTATCAGGTGGAAGGTGCTCCATGGTGGCAATAGAGCTGGATGGCCGCAGATTGGGAAGTTTGTGAGCCCAAGCACGAGGCCGTCAAGGAACTTCAAGTTTACACATCCCTCGTGACAACGTCGAGTCCAGCAGCGGTCGCACCCCAGCGATGAAAAAAATCATCATGAAAATCCCAGCGCCCACGCCCGAGCTCGACAGCCTGGACGAGTGCATCTGGTTCTTCCTCCGCCAAGTGAGCACCGGTTACCGCCTCCGTGAAGGTAGCATTTGCCGTCGGACTCAATTTGGTATAGGCAGCCCGGGTGTTTGCACGTCCGAGCTTCGCTGTGGGCGGTGCACTTGTTCTTGAGTAGTGAGTATCTGTTGCATCCTGGGTGGGAACACCGCTTGCCACCGCCATGTTTGATGCACTTGACTCCATGCACACTCCACTTCGGACATCCAGGATACGAACATAGCTTTTAGCTTCACGCTGGCCTTCTTCTGCCAGTCCGTCTCGCTGAAGGCAATGGCCCCCATTGGTTCTGCATCGGGTTGCTTTCTCAGAGTGGACTGCCCCCCTTGAGCCGACGCAACAGGCATCATAATTTCAGTCGAGACAACGTCACCACTGAGCACGAACTGCGGGCCCCTTTGCGAGTCAACGACGAAATACACCCGCTTCCGAGTCCTTGCCATCGCCCGGGTTCGTTCGTGACTACGGCCTGGACGATGAATGGCCGAACTTCGGCAACCGCGTGTTGTGATGCTATTGTCGGAGGGGATCAGGAAAAAACAATAGCTTCATCGCGCAACGCTGAGGGCAGGCACCAAGCTTTCGGTTTGTGCTATCGACATGGCGGGTATACCCTATGTTCGCACTCAGGCTGTCAGCGCAAGTCTCGATCGAGGGGTCTGTGCCCTTAACACGGCGGAGGTAAACGCTGTTCACATGCAGGTTGCAAGAAGTCCGCCACGCTTAATGGAGTGTGCACGAGTCACGGCAATCGAGGCTAAAGTCTACTATTAGTAGGTTGTACTAAGCGTTCGTACGGCAAGGCAAGCATGGGCAAGGCAAATGACTTGTAGGATGGTTCGATTGAGTAACGTGTCTGCCTAGATCATTATTCTCTGCCGGAGAGGATTGCGCATCCGTCGTCAATTTACTCTGATGACCACGCGCTTTGGAGGTGTCGGCCGGACTGTCGGCGCATCAATTCGTATTGCTGTCGTTGCTGCTGCTTCACCTTGCGCTCTGTCTCAATAGCCTCGGCGTCTTTCTTGCGCTTCACGCGCATAGCGATGCAAGAAGCAATCCCCAACACAAACAACAGCGACCCAACGCAGGCCGAAACAATGAGAGGAGGGCTGAAGGACACAGCACTGGGCTGACTGGGCACGATGCAGCGCGGTCCAGACCACGTAGTGCTTGAACACTCGCAGCGCTGGTTCACGCACCGTCCGGTAAAGATGACGGTCGACCTGCTGCTGGACGAAGATCTCTCACGGCGACGGTGGCTCGTTTGAACCGTGCAGTCCTCGTCCGTCCGACAGAAGGCCCTCCCGTGCACCTCGACGAGTTTGTTCTCCTCGTCTTCGTACTCGTCCAGGTGATCCAGGATCCACTGGCGCGTGGGGTGCGTCTTCGGGTCGCAGCCCACGCTCATGATCGAGTCAGGCGACAAGTCCTGGTACACGCGGACGTAGTCGATCTTCAAGTACATGGGGAACGCGTCGCAGATGCGGTTAGCTACAGGGTCCATTCCATCTCCACGACACGGATTCTTCGGGTTGGGCGGTTGAGCGCCCCACTTGCTGGACATGGCCACGTTGAAGATGAGGTACAAAGGCTCCTCGATCATGATCTTGCGGGGGTTCTTGACGCTCGCTCCTTGCGGAGGGTTCGTGATGGTCTCGGCTGGGATCTCGAACAACGGGTCTCCATCCAGCGTCCAGCGCACGTAGCCATTGGCGCCGGGGACCCACTCCACCTGGTACCGGACGAAGCCTGTGTACACCCCCATGTGCACCGGCCAGTTCGCGGACAGCGCGTCCATTTGGAAGGCAAAAGTTGATTCATCACTGGGAAGAACCGGCGTGTCGTCGAGGGGTTTGCAGCTGGGGTCGGGATTTCCAGCGCTGCAGATGAATTCGCCCATGTACGAGTTCATAGCAGAGAAGCAGGTGCCGTTCGAGTTGATGCCCCAGCGATCGTCGCCATCTTCGTGCATGTAGTTGAGGTCCGAATTGATATCCAGAGATCCTGGGCACGTGTCGACGGAGCACACGTTGTCTTCAACCCCAGCTTTCAGCGCGGCTTCCACCGTGGTATATCGTTGAATGAGGCTGGCGTTCTGCTGGCAAAAATTGTTGGAAGCGTAGCGCAGCTTCTGATACCACGACTGATGACCACGAGCCCCGACGTAGACGCTCTCGGGAATTCCTGGGATGTTGGCGCCGGGCGTTTTGCACGAGCTTGAGTAGATGCACAGCTTGTTCTCGCCCTCTGGCGTTACGACGCGGAAGTCCGGCGGCATTCCAGGGCCCACTTGGATGGACGACGAGATGGTCGTCCCTCCTCCTTCGACGATGTCGATTTCAGGCGCACCACGACCTTGATACGGGTTCATTCCCGAGCCTGGGTCCGCGTCACACGCGCTAATACGCTGGTTGCTCGGCGTCAATTCGTCCGGATCACAAGCGTCGTAGGAGAATGGCCACATCCGATTCGTGGAGCCGCTGAAAATCGCCCTTCCAAGGTTTCCTAACAAAAAAATGTTAAATCTCAAGACCAACAGCTGCGCTACACCGCTGTGGACGTACCTAGCAACCAGATTCCAGGCCACGTCGGGTAATAACGCAGCGACTGAGCGCGCGCACTGGAGTCCAAGAGCAGGTCGGGGTTGCCAGAGGACTCTGAGAGAGCTCCAGGCAGCTGGACTCGAACCTCGATCATACCTCCTTGCATGCAGAACTTGTTCCAGGACTGCACCATCCCCCCACGATAAAACTGGCAATGAGCAGCAACAGCAACAAACCCGTCAGCAGTATGCGGATCAACAATCGTGAGAGAGTACAAATACACTTACAAACGTGACGTTCTCGAAGCCCGGCGTCTGCAGAAAGCTGTTCCACACTTGCAGCTGAGTGACCGAGTCCTCCAGTTCAATCTGGAAGCTGCAGATGCCGCTGGCCTCGTCACACGCCGTGGTGGTTTTATTGTGCGCGTAGACTTCCATCGCCTCGTTCACGCCGTCCGGTTTCTCGATCGACGTCCACATGTGATCGTCTCCAGGTCGAAAAGACCGTCCGGGGAAGTTGAACTCGTCGCTCATCACGAGGTCCCAGGTCTCTCCGCGCGAACTCTTCCACGTGTAGGACTCCAACGGGGTTTCCGGATCGACCCACATCTTCAAACCCGACTGCGTCACTAACCGGTTGTCATTCCTCCGCCTTGGTCGCGCTGCCGAAGTCACAGCGAGCCATATCACGACCAAAATCGTCGAAACCTGCACGTGTAGCACCATTTGCTACGTGAAAAGTGAATTGCATCAAGTGACAGCAAGACCGTTAGTATGATCGACCTTTCTCCGCCGTTGCCGTAGAACTCGACGGGTAACTGGGACGAGCATCATCCAAAATTTGAAAATATTTTTTTTTCTCGGGTGTACTCCAGCTCGGAAGATACTTTTTTCTGCAAATCATTTTTCTTATCAAGATGAGGCCCGAGTTGATGCCAAGCGACGTATTGGAGGCCGTGCTCGCGTTCCTGACAGGTTTCGACACCTTCACGCTCTCGCATGCCAGTCCCGAGTGCCTTTCGTGGCTCTCGGACCCTGAGTTCTGGCAGGAGCGTCTTCACGGACAAAGTGCGGCGGACGCTCAAGGGCCGCCATGGATGAAAGATTTGAAGGGCTCCGCAAGGCGACTCAGGTTTCGGATGAAGGGCATCGTCCAAAGAGACTTGGAGCAGCACTGGAAGAGGAAATATATGCTGGAACGATCCGTGTATTTCCGAGGAATGGGGTCCCAAGACTTCATCTACCGACGTCAACGAGGGCCATACGCGTTTACCTGGAGCACAATGTGTCCACCGAGTCGAGACAGCAGAGACCCATGGCGTATCTGGCTGGGAACACTAGTGTCAGCTTCGACGTGTGATTCTGCTTGCTGCCGGACACGAGGACGACGGGGTCTACAACTACGGGCCACTATGGGCGCTGAGTCCTCTACGGGCTGGACTGTGACGACATGGGAGACGATCGGTGGCAGCCGGTGGTGGTCGACTCCAAGTGCAATCTCTACTGCTCGCTGCTCGAAGGGAAAACGATGGTAGCGGCCAAGCTGATGACCAATCGCTGGCACCATTTAGCTTTGAGTTCTGAGCGAGAGAAACACGTTCAGCAAGTTTACGTTGATGGAGTGCAGGTGCACTCTGCTACGGGTGAAAGACGCCGTGAATGGACTCGCATGGCGTACCAGCAGATTGGCACTGGTCACATCGTGGCTGGAGACGGAGACTTTCCTTATCCAGGTTATTCAGGAGCGTACGACTTTCGAGGCTTGGTCGATGGGTTTCCAGTGTGGCGAGGCGTGCTTTCTGTGATGGAGGTGGAAGAGCTGGCTCGTGGTGGGACGCTGCCGTATCGAGAAGTGTGGGCATCGATTGGAGTGGGTGCGATGTACCCGACCAGCTGAGGGAGGCGTTGTAGCGCTATTTAAATAAAACGCGTGGAAGATGCCTGTGCAGAGCATTTTAATGATTTACATAAGTGAGCGCACTTCAACTGCTCAATCGATAACAAGCATATTTTAAAAAAGCAATTCGAAGTATTGTGGCTTTCATCCGTTTTGGCAAATCGGGTGGTCCAAGATCCGATATATCGGGCCCGATTTGCTGGAGGGCTCCGATTTAGCAGGAAGGGCTGAGGGGGCCAGAAATACCGCTTTTCGCCGGCAAAAGGGACCGCCGCGAAAACATGTCTGGGGCCCTCTCAGATCGGCGTGGCACGAAGTTGTAGCGGCCGTAGATGAGCACACAGGTCATTTAGCTGGCCATGGTGCTATGAAGTGGCTATATACAGTGCACTATTGTCCCCAATGTCCTGCAGTTCTAATGCGTCATAAGAGGTGAGGAGGTATGGCCAACTTGGAATGCCTCCCCTCTGAGCCTTATGCTACTAACTCAGGTCAGATATAGCTAAATTGGACTAACCCATCATGTAGGAGCTCCATTTTATATAAATCGGACTCCGAGATAACACGTCAAATCGGGCGGCAAAATAGTTGAAAACCACAATAAATTAAAATTTACTTCAGCGCTAGCACATGAAGACTCGCGTGAACATTCCGTGGGCAAGGGAGGGACGACGGAAGAGTAATCTACCGGGTAGATTCTATTGTGGAAACCGATTAGATTGTCCGAGCGGATTAGCTGATAAAGCAGCGTTCATGAGAGATTTGACTGGTACTAAATCGGGGATCCTTATGATTGCATATGTCATTGGTAAGGGTATAAATCAGTGTAGCGTTAGTAAAATAGGGATTGCCTCATTACCCGCCAGCAATACGCGGAACGACCACTTACCACCACGAGCTGACTGTTTCGCACTCCTACTAACGAGCAATAGCATCGCGTGCATTAAATACTTCTCTGTGAGCAGTCGACGTGTACTGCTATCTATTTATCAAGTTGTAAAGCCATATATTTGCGCTGTCATTTCTCGTCAGCATTAGCGTTTGTCGGTTTTACCTTAAATCCGCTGCCGAATGCCGAGTGGGTGTCGGACATTCGGGCTGATTGGCATGCAAATCAGTCGTCCAGAGCTTTGTAAGCATTGAGCAGCTAAATCAGCTTGCCACATGGCGTTGTAGGCACAACAGACTGCTCTGTCAAATCAGAGTGCAAAGCTTAGGCTGTCGATCTAATTAGGAGGTCGGAGTTATTAAATCCGACCCGATTAAGCTTAATCATCTGCTTAACCAACCGATTTATATTCCAATTAGACAATCTAATCGGTTCCCACAATACCCGTTATGCTGTCGATTATGGTGGTGGTTCCTATGAGATGGGGGATAGTCACTTACTTCGGTGAAATTGGCAGTAACGTGCAGATTCTTCGGGAGAACAGCAATGACCCCTTCAGGTCCTGAATTGATCGTTGCATCCAGAATTTCGGTTGTATGATAGATTATCCACCAAATAGGGAAAGTAAGATGGCGATGGCAGATATTTGTACAACAACGGATGTCGATCTCCTTGTTCCCTGTACAATGATACATTTTTGGAAGTTTGGACAATAGTGGTATAATAGTCCGGATGCCGAGGATGTACTTACAGTTAACCCAACCACGTGACCGGAATAACGGCTGAGATAGCGAAAATAAAACAGAGCAGATATACGCACAGCGCACACGACTTGGCGCACCAGTCGTCCGCGCTGTGCGTATTATATTATGAACATCCACAACTACCAGATAAGTAGCTTCTTAGTACTTGCGATAATATTAATTTACTTTCTTACCTCCGCGCTGTTAATAATCAAATACAAGCAAGCTATTAGCTGCAACAGCGCCCTGCCAAGCACTTACCTTCGTGCTGTAACTTCGCCCTGGTGTTGCGTCTTCGGGTCGGGTGTAGTGGAATGTCAGTTGGCTACCCGCTGCCGACTGCAACGGACGACCGCTGGCTGGAGAAAGCCGCCGTCATGAAACTCACGACCTGTGGCAAGAGTCGACGGAAACAAACACGTAGTGGTTACCTAGGTAGCACAGAGAGAGAAGCGCCTACATAGTATGCATGAAGAAGGTAGCGAGAAGTTAACCAACAAATACACTTTGCATTTCGCAATTTCAAGAGCAAGTCGACGACAGCAAGGCCGCCGCCGACTTACAAGTCCAAGTTCAGCTTGTCGATGCTGAAGACACTACAAAGTATACTTTAGCTGTGTACGAACAGCATGTCAGAGCCAAGTCCTCCGAAGCGGAGCCGGGCCAACACGGACGGCGACTTCGGGAGTACAAGCACGAGTGTGATGGCCAAGGGCGTCACGCTCCAAGACCCACCGCAAATCACAAGCTTCGCTCATGAAGACTTGGTGAGGTGGAAGCATGAGAGAATCATGTACGAGGAAGCAGTGGAGAATCGCTGCGCAGAGACCGGAGAGTCGGTTGCATCTGTCCGACGCCCCGTGTTCAAGTCTATCAACAAGAGGCTGTTGAAGTCCTTCGAGCTGCGTATTCCAGTGGAGAATATGACTGAGGAGAAACTGGTGAGCGCCATTGAAAACATCATCGGCAGCGTGATTAACGACACGATTCCTGATGTGATGGGGATCATGGCGTCCAACCTGAAGATGGATCTGAGTCAGAAGGACGTGAAGGCTAGGATCCTGGGGTATGGAAGAGGTGATTGAGATGCATGGTCTTGCTGGGTGCCTGAAGGATAACGTGAAGCTGAAGTGTAAAGTGATTGTGGAGAATCTAAGACCGGCTACACTGAAGGAGCAAGTGAGGCGTGCACTCGAGTGTGGTCCCAGCTTGAAGTCTGATCTTCACCGTCTTTTTGATCTCGTCAACCAGGAAGCTATTCGGAACCAGCAGGCCTACGACATGTACCAGCACATGGGGAAACGTGACAACGGTGGTCGTGATAGCAAAAACAACAAGAAGCAGCTCGATAGTGCAAGGGTGCAAGTCCGCAAGGACGATCGACGACCAAGTGTGAAGCCATTACACAAGAAGAGGGATGGTCTGCCACCCGGGGGCTGTTTGTACTGCAAGCGCAACGACCACTGGCTCGAGGACTGTCCGAGCGCCACTGAGGCGAACAAGAAGGACGCAATGAAGATGTTCTTGGAGAACAAGAGACGCGGGAAGGAGGCGTCGACGGTAAAGCGCCTGGTTACGAATGACTCGCTTGGAGAGAGTGAAGTGATCTTCAATGACCTAGTGGGCATGCCCTATTGCCTCGACAACGGTACCACGTACAACGTCATCCCTCGCAGTATTGTGGATGAGTTGCAGCTTCTTGACCCGAGCGTGACACTCAAAGCCCTGGAGCCTCCTGTTCGAGGCAGGGCAGTTGGTGGTGCGTACATTACGTGCACTCAGTCCGTGGATTTGGATATTGGTCTGCAAACAGTGGCTGGTAGAGTGAATATCCGCGGCCTGACGTGTGTGATCACCGAGACTAATGAGGATGAGTTCTTGCTCGGGAAGCGGACCCTAAGATCGCTCGGAAGCGATGTTGACGAGCTTCTTGCAGGTCTCGTGACCCAAGGTTCCTCTGATGTGGACCCGTTTGATGACGAACGGAACTACAAGGCGATCGCTCGACCCGATACGGATGCGATCAAGGCTCGGCTGCACGAAATGATAGCTGAGGCTGTTGACAACGGATTCCCTGCTGATTGAAGCGATGAACTGAACGAAATTGTGTCGAAGCGAGATATCTGGCGCCTGCAAATTAGTGATGACCCGCCTGCTCGCCTGCCTCCGTTGGCTGGGCGTACAAAAACCCGGAGAGTCGCTGGGCGTGCCCAGCCCTGCCAGTTCACAAGCCTGGAAAAGAGAATGAGTGGCGACAAACAATTGATTTCCGTCGCGCGTCCGAGTCATTTCAACGACTTGAGGGTACCGTAAGTTACTTTAATTTAATGTGGAGGGCCCAAGCTTACCATTGTATCCGAAGCGCTTCGGCAGCGGCTCCGCGAGGTGGAAAGGGTGCCTCTTCCTTTTAAACCCGAGCCAGTGGGGGGCGAATAAAGTACCCTCTCGAGGAACTAAGCCGCAATGCGGATTTGTTCGAGTAGATTTTCTCCCAGGTAGGCAACAAGCATTGTCCATAGTGACGCATTGGCATCGACAAAAGTTCATTTAGATGGAGGGCGTCGACTTGCTGTCAAAAGCATGGTTTAACACCTGACAAGCGCCATTGGATGCCTCCGGAGTTCCAAGTACAGCCTGGCCGGAGCGCGCTTGAAGAAACATGCAAGGTGTTCAGTCTTTACAAGACGAAAATGCTTGAAGCAAGTCCGAACACCATATTCGGCGAGCGTGTTCGCCTTCAAAAGTACCGGGCTTACTTGCAGACGACGTACCAAGAGAAAATCGCGAAGTGGATGAAACTTTGCGAGAAGGTACGCAATAAAAACATTGCACTTGAAGCGCCAATCCAGGAGGAGATCGACAGATTTGGAGAAGGTAAAGCTTGTGCGACCCTAGCTAAGTTTGAGGCAGTTTACAAGGCTGGATTCATCGAGAAGGATAACGCATACGAGGCCAAGATGAAGGCAAAGGAAGACCAGCTGGCGAGCGAGAGACGGTTTAGTAAGACATTTGGATCTGATTCGGATAGCGAAGATGCCTAAACACAATGTATAGGCCTATTAGAATATATGTCTCACTTTCAACAAGACCCAAAGTACTAGGACAAGACTCAAAATACTAGAAAAGACTAAAACTACTAGCCAAGCATATTACACAGACAATTGGCTACAGAACGCTGCCAGCTCAGACATCAATGTACTACACTGGCCCGATACATTCGCCTCGACCGTAAACGTCGTCTAGTGAAGTCCAGGCACGCGTACCTCCGAGATTAATGCAAGTATTGTTGGCCTTGTCGTAGTGTTTTCAGTCTTGTTTAGTATTTAATGTCTTGTCGTAGTACATAAGGTCTTGTTAGAAAACCTAGTATTTTTAGTCTTGTTACCTTATCTTCAAGTCCTCAGAAGCCTCCTAAAGATTATTACCGTCGTCCTTAGTTTTATCAAATATCCTTGCAAAATTAATACTAAAGTGGACGTTATGACTGGTTAATACTCTAAAGATACTGCGCGTTGATTAGTCATGCAATTGGACTTTGCATATTTTGTTGTTTCTAGAGGTGGAAGTTGCTTCTGACTTAAAATGTATACAAAACCCAATTGAACTGGAAGCAGCTTCAATTCCTCACGTTCACGCGGGCAACAGCGGCCTGATCAGGGTTAGGGTAACTTTACAAAAGACAGGTATCTTCATCTAACCTAACCCTTCATTTTGCAAGTGGAAGCGCTACTTCAATTATTAATAAGCCTGTTAAGCATATTCGCCTTAAGGATGTTTATGCTCAATACTTCACCGGTCGCGCTGATACGACGCCCGATACCATTGCTGGTCAACTTAACCCTTTCGCGGTAAAAGGATACAGAAAGTGCTGTTTAGATGATTTTCCAAAACACGGTAGAGTGTACCCCCTCTTAAAGGGCGCATCCTGTGCCATTTTGCACAAGTTCAAGCTAGTAATCAACCTTCTTTTAAAACAAATCATAATCGGTACGCAGGGTAATCATCAAGTAATCATTGTCTATACAAATGCTAAGTCATACGCATACACTCTATGTATCCTGCAAATCACCGTTGATGGCATGTCCCATGAGACAGCTCCGTAACTTTGTAAAAGGACGCCTAGAGCGCCCTTTTAGAAGGAAGTATCAATGAGTTGTATACTATAATTTATTGAGGATACTCGCGAAAGGGTTAATGCTAACTTCAACTTCCAACTATCCGGTACGTTCAAAGACATCAAATATGTTGCATTGCTTCCATTTGCTGAAACGTCGAAGGGTCACTTCGTTAGTGCTCATAGTACTCAACAATTCCAATCTCCTTTTGACAGCGCTCCTTGGACGGTCATGCCTGGTGCAAGCATTCGAAACTTCCAAGTAACGATTGGTACTTCGAACGTATTCTCTAAAACTCATGAGTATGACTATACTTTCAAGACGAATTCTCGAAGCTAGCGGCTATCAATGGTGGCCATTCCCTTGACATTTGCAATGGTTTAATCGATGCCAATAAATGGGCATATGCTCATCGTGTTCTAATCGCTGATTGCTCGCGCGTCAGTGAAGGATCAGTTTTTCGCGAAGATGATCGAGCAAGCAGGATCGGGAAAACGGATTTTGCAGGAGACGAAGTGGTTGGCACTCAGGCCACCACACGCGCGGCAGAGCATTAGCTCTACTCAGTTAGCAATATCTCGCGAGCAAGCAACGTGCCAGCGCGGCATCAGACGGCATACCGACTATGACAGCAACCATCACCTGCGGCGAGTTCGTCTTACTCCTACCAGAAGATGCAGTCGACCTAGATGTCCCATCATACGGCATCGTCGCCAGGGTAACGCAGACACCAGCGACCGTCACCGGAATCCCCAATTCGCAGTTGCAGTGGACTACGCCCCGCACGACTTCTACGGAGCGGCGCGCCCCAGCTGCAACTGCACGAGGACTGCGCCCGGGTGAATGGCTCCGTCGGGCGGTTGCGGCTCGCCTGCGGTCCGCCTGGGTCCATGGGCAGGTGGTCGCCCTCGCTCAAGACTCAGCTCGCGTGGTGGTGCGCACGGCAGCACAACCACATCCCAGAGCTGACGGTGGTGGACCCAGTCACGTGCTTGCTGCTGTGGGACGCAGCAGTGCCGCGGTCTCGGCGCGTCTCACAGCTTCGTACACTCCACGTCACACTAATGGATCGAATCCTCGGTTCACCGCACACACCCGACCGGCCGCCCTCTCGAGACATCGCCACCATCCTCGCCGATATCGTGCCACGCGCGGATCATCAACGTCCGAACATGGATCGATCAAGCAACCGGAATCGACCAATCGTTCCCGCTCCAGCACGCTGTTGACTTCGTCTATGTGACGGAAGGGGATGCCGAGTACATCCCGCCGGGATGATCCCGGACGAGCTGCGGGAACGGATCGGAGCGTCCTTTTCCTGTCCACCAGATACCGGCCGGTCTTCGATGCATCCGGAGGCTCTGATCGGCCACAACGAGTCGGCGTCTCAGTCGGATTCGTTCTTTGCCGACTCGTCGAGGAGACCACCGGGCGGACCCCTATGGACTCACACGCAGCACCAACGCGCGTGCGCGGCGATACGGCGGACGCACACGCGCGCGTCGTTCGCGCCCTCGCCGGCCAACCCGAGCTGCTGGTGGAGTACCTGGAGCAGTCGACAAACGCTGTGGCGCCGCCCGCTAAGCGTCGCCACCGATAGCGACCTGGCCGGTGCCCCCAAATCCGGATTTCAGCCGAGCTCCACGCAGTCGCAGCTTCACCAGCTGCTCATGTCTTCGGGCTTGGGAGGTACGTGTGCTCATGATTTCCTGGATGGTCTCATCTCGCACGCGTCTGTCCAGTTCGCTCCGCACCCCGGGGTGTTGATTCGGCTCTACGATTTTCAATTTGGGACTCGCGGACTCTCCATTATGCACCTCGCATTTATGGACCGCGTGGAAAAGATGACTTGGGTACAAACGCGTCACACCAATATGCAGAATTTTTCCTACATCGTCGCTCTACCGGCACCGCTATTTCCGACCTCGTCGGCCGAAGTCGTCTCGGCGATCAACAGCCTTCATACCTACTGCGCTAGCTTTGCGTCGTCGGAGGTGGTCGACTTGGTGCAGCGGATCCACGCGTTTGCGCTCGAGGAAGCGGGGTCGGCAGTATGGGCACCATCCGACCTGCCTCCTTTTGTCTACTGGGTGGACGGTATCCTCGAGTCGTTTCGTGCCGCCGCTGTCCGGGACATCGCGGGTGGCTCCTCCCGCCGTTGTGTGAAGGACACGGTTAATCGAACGAACCCCGAGCTCCAAGCTACGATCCAGCTGCTCACGCAGCGCTAGTTGCGCGAGATCCGACAGGAGAGACCGGCACCAGACCTTAGCCGCGGCCGCGAACCCGTCGAGCAACACCGGAGCCGGGTCGTACAGCAGGTCGCGCGCAGACCTGAGCAGGACGCAGCCCAGCAGCGCGGCAGTCAGCGCAGTTCCTCCGAGCGCTCGCAGTATCTCCCCCAGCAGAATGGACGAAAGTTGTGTCTTCGGTCGCTGTCCCGGCGCGGGTGCCCCGGTGTGGTGGGTGCGTCATCACAGTACATCTACCCTGATCGCGCCCACTTCACCCCGACAACCCTACCAGAAGATGCCCGGGCGTTTATCCAGCGGCAGCTCGGCGGCTTGACTCTGTCTTTCCAACGGTTATGACGCGCAGTACTCGGTCGAGGCCAATACGCGCCGCTCTCCCACTCCACGCTACTCCTCGACGTGGCTTGCCGCCAACATCATTCCGACCAGCACGTCTATGCCGGCGACATGCCGGCCTCAGCGCACAAAGCGCTTCTTGTTCACATCACTGCCCCCAACGACCGACCGGAGCCGACACGCTGGCCGTGGACACGAGCAGTGCCACCACGATACTACCACAGCAGCGCTGAAATAGCGCGAGATCACGTTCCTCGTCCTCGCCTGCTTTCCCCACCGGTCTGTCCGCATCCACCGAAGGCTCTCGCACGCCGTCGCTGTGCTCCAGGCCGATGGAGCCGCGACACTGCGTCGATCGGTTGACGGCAACGCCGGCACGTACAAAATGACATCGCCACTCGCCTCGGCCTCCGTGCTGCCAGATAACACAATCCTCGGCCCACTCCACGCTACTCCTCGACGTGGCTTGACGCCACCATCGGTCCAATCACACCTCACTCGCGAGCTTATGCGGGCCGAAACAATCGTTACTATGGGTCTAGTTTCGCACTGCCAGCGTCACGGGGTTGCCTACGGTGGAAATAGAAGCAGTTTGCAATTCGCCCTATCCAAGCTCACTCGCCGTACGCGTTGTTTCCTGCCATGCCTCGTTCGTCTCCTTCGCGGAGAGACTGCCTCCGATCCGCGTCCGAACAAGGCGCTTCAACCCACGACGTGCATGCAGCTGCTGAGTACGTTCAAATATCGTGACCTCATGATCAAGATTGTGCAAGAAGGCTTCCACGTAGTCTGGCGACACGACTTGCCCAAGCAGCAGAATCGGCCGCCCAATCATATCTCGGCTGTAGACTGCTCAGCGCAGGTCCTACAACGTATTCGCGAATGTGAATCGGGCGGCGCATATCTCGTGGTGGATGCTGACGTTTTCAGCTTCTGGTCTGTGTCCTTGGGTGCGGTCACCAAGGAGCACGACTCGATTCGCCTGATCCATGATCTCTCGTGTCCCCGAGGCGATTGCCCCAACCACATGACCGTCACCTGTTCACTGCACTGCACTAACTCGTGTACGAGCATGTCGCTGCACTAGCGAATCGGACCGAGGCCCTCCAGCACCGGTTCCCCGGTGCGAGGATATTAATGCTCAAAGGCGACGTCCAAGGTGCCTACCGACACCTTCGTCACCGCGCCGACAGCGTGGCGTGGATGTGGGGCTTCACACCAGATGGATCAGCCGGTGTCGTTGATCTCTCAGCACCGTTCGGTTGGACAGGGTCACCAGCACTCTACAGCGTCTTTGGCGGCGTGATCTGCCACCTTTCTAGCCTGATGTGTACCTGTGTACCATTCTTCTCCTACGCGTGGGTTGATGACCACATCATGATCGAGCCCGACATTGGCCTCAGGTGTGACACAGTAGAAGATGCCTTGCGGCTAGCAATGCTCGCAGTCCTCGGTCTGAAGGCGATCAACGAAGTCAAGTTCAGTAGCTGGACCACTCAGCTAGCGGCGCTCAGACTCGAGTGGGACACGGTTGCGTGTACCGTATCCATTCCGGCGATCAAGATTGCAAAAGCTCTCGGCCGGGTTTCGGCCGCTTGCGAGACGGTTCGGATCTCCAAGCGTACCCTGGAGCAACTGCTCGGTAGCCTCCGACATGTTGCGTCGTGTGTACATGCAGCTCGCCCATTCTATCAGCGCCTCCACGCGCTGGGGCGATTGAATGGCGTTACAGCAGCCATATGACGACAACACGACAGAAATTAAAGCAACCACAAGGCCTAAAGCAACCCTAAAACCAGCTGGCACCCGGTAATTTATTTTAAATGACGCGTAAATGACAGGGACACGTCGCCCTCGTCATGGTCTTGCTACATCTCTCTCTAAATTTAGACACGTGGTGGCGTCTAACTGATGTTCTCTACACAGCAATACGTGAAACACATGACAATATGTGTCCCACATTTTCAACACTTAGCAGATTTTGAGCGACAGCAAAAATGGAGAAGAAATCGCTGGCACATGAGCTGGTGCGCGCGAGAATCGCCGAGATTGCACTCCTCAAGAAGAAGCTGGATGAGCTTACCGAGCATCTGGAAATGCTTCTGGCAGCGCAGCTACAAATCCAAGCCCTCGTCGAAGATCGCGAAGAGAACAGCTATGCGTTAGCAGCCGTCTTGGGCGATGAAGGGGCCGACCAAGGTGGTCTCACCGCAGAGGACGACGCTGTTTCCCTCGATGTTCTACTGGAGTTGGCGGTGCGAAAAATGAAAGACTAATGCAGCATAGACTCTGTATTTAAAGGTAAATACAGAGTGTGGTGTTTCTCAGAGCTGGTTCTGTAGCTGCTGATGAATCTGGCTAGCTTTAGCGACGTCGCGTTCAGAGAGATGACGTTCTTGGGAGTAACACATGATGACCCACAGCATTTTCAATCGCATCACCTTGATGTCGTTCTTGGAAATTCTAGAAAGTTGCATCTGCAAGTTCCCCGTAAGATAGCTGTGGGCTTGGGCTACTACCATTACACCACAGTTTGCAAAATCAGGTTGTTGAGGGGCACAGATCCACTCAATCGGATCGAAGAAAAGATGGCCACGGGGGTCAGAAGCCTTGTGCCACCGCTCCACATAACCACGAAGCCCCTCCTTTCCTTCATTTTCTTTGTCTTTCGGAATTCCAGTCCACACGATTTCCATTTTATGGTGATAGTCATCATCAATGAGCGGCTCATATATGTATACATGCACCCGAAGCTTGCTTGTTTTTGCCGTGTAGCTTAGGCGAAGGATAATTACCCCCCAGTGGTCTGCGTGCAGATTAACGGGGTGGATAATAAAATTCGTTGCTGCAAGTGCTGTCTTAGGGCGACTTGGCCATCCGATAGCCCATGTCAGTGATGACAGCACATGGCACTTCCCCACCGATCTCGCAAGGATTTCCAAGCAAAAGTCCACAGGGCTATCATTTAGCCATCCACGACAGATCCCTCCCCCAATGTTGTCAAAGCTGATCAGGACTTTGTTGGAGAGCGTCACAAATTCAGTGCGCAGCCGGCTTGAAGTAAACTTTGAGATAATTTCGTTCGCTAGACCTTGGTGCCGCTCGGAAACAGCATCACGCGGTAGTCCTGCCGTTGCTGTCTCCGCAGCGAAAAGATCCACGATGGAGTCAACTTTACGCCAATCTTGCTCCAGCCACTTTCGGTCCTTCAACCATGAGGTACACTTCGCCTTGATCGCGTAGAATCCTGTTAGAGCACCTACATATTGTCTAGAAACATAAGCATGTTAAAGCAACCCTATTAGAGCAACCATATCGCTAAAGCAACCATACCCGTTAAATTTCCACAGTTTTGGATCAATCGCCAAGACGACGTCAAGAACAAGTCCTTGCTTCTTGGCCGTTTCATCCAGTACAATTGGCTGCTTCTCCTTCCGGGTAGTAGTCGTTGCTGCCTGCATTGATAGGGCGAGGTCTTGTGGAATTACAAATGTGTGCATGTAGTCCGCAGGTCGTACAATTTCTTGATGACAATCAATCTTCCGAGCTGTTAGATAGGCATCCTCCAGACTTCGACAGCATCTCCATCACGCGCTTCAGATTTGAGGTGTTTCTGGCCCAAATCAGGAACTGATCCAAAGTCACGGCAAGTTCAGTGGGGTACTTGTGAACAGCAAGACGGTCGGCTTTGAGACTGATCGATGTTTGCCTCAGCTGTTTCGGAGTTGACCTTGACTTTCCTTGGCTTGGTGGCTTAGGAACTCTAACGACATCGACCTGGCGCACGCGCGACTCTGTGTCAGGCTTCGTAGAGCTTGAAACCTTGTCACAGCTACTCATTCCGCAGCTGTCATGAGATTTCCCGTCGATGGGGGGTCGAATTGGAGATGACTGCGAAAGGTGAGTGCGTTGTGTCGATAACATACTTTCGTCGGACTCGTAATCGCCATAATTCATGGTCATGGGGCTGCTTTCCAATGCGTCCATGAGCGTCATAATCCCCATTGCCTCCACGGGGTCCAGAATGGAATCTGAGACAGGTTCAGATACATCTTCTTCTTGCTTGCTATCTTCAGCAGATTCTGTAGAACTTGGTTGGGGGGGGGCAGGGTTGACACGGTTGAGCCTTATGTCGATCGTTTCCTTCCAGGCACTTAGCTCTTGGTAGAAGTCTGCACTAGACAAATCTGACAGGTGTTCCAATAGCGGTTCCAGCGTCGCTTTTGCATATGCGTATTTTTCAGCTGAAGACAATACGACCTGGTTTGCCCGTTCACCTCGCCGTAGCCGTACGCACGCAACTTGCTTCCTAGCTTTGGTTGGCGAAGCGTTACCCCCCGCAGCATAAAGTGGTTGTTCTGGTTCAGCCCCAGTGTCGTTGGCAACTTTACTTTCGGCAACCTTAACTTGGACATCTGCACAATTGGCTGTAACATTTCCGCTGCAGCCGTCAATTCGTTTTTCACTTCCAAGGTCTGGTACGTACTCCACCGATCATGAATTGCCATAGCTGGAAGCAGTTTGAAGCCATTCCCCTCGCGTGCTAAGTGCATAAGATGACGACATGGTAAATGGTGACTGCTATAAAATAGACAAGTACACGTCCACTCCACATCGTGACAGCGAAAGGTTTGATTCCCGCAATAAATTTTCCATTGTGAAGGACTCGACGCTGTACGCTCACAAGTCGCATCTGCCATGAAGTTCACAAATCGTTCCCACTCTTTTCTCACTTTCTCGAAGATGTCAGGGTACAGTCGAGTTGCTACCGTCCGGAGAAACATCGGTATGGTTTTAGGAACGGGCGAAGTCGAATGGTGCTGCGCGATGACGAACCCGATCTGCTGAGTTATCATGATTTGATGCTGCACCAAGCCCGCAATAGTCTTGTCAATTAGTGTCTTGTGCCCCAACAGTATTTTCACTTGAGTCCAGTTTGACTCGATCCTGTTCGTTGTAGTATTCCCAGCCGTGAAAAATTTGCTGCGAGCAAAGTTCGCCCACATGTCTCGACACGAATCCCAGTTCTTTTCAAAGTACGAGAATCAAGCTTGTTTCTTGTTGTCTTCGCAGTATTGCTTCAATGCACCGTAACTAGAATCATAACATGTCTCTGTGGAGCTGCATATGGTTTGTTTTCCAAAGTTAGCGTTACCACAAGAATCATAAATAGAACCTGTTGCGTACCTGTACAGCGTTTTTATCATCAGGTTGAGTAACTCGTCGCGTTCAGAAACCTTCAGCTTGTATGGGGCCCGCTGTATCACCTTCTGCCAGTACGAAATGTCATGGAATTGACAAAGTAAAACTTTCGCAGCAGGAAATAGTGTTTTCAGCACCCTCCACACAACGAAATCTTTGTCGATCACGATGGAGGATATCATCCGCCAACTTGGGTTCTTCTCTTGGAAATACTCCAGGATTGTTGACATCATAGGAGCTCGTTGGTTGAGGCATATGAAGTCTACAACTGGAAACCCTCTACCAATGGCGGTTGTGACGACCAGACTCCCTGAAATATCCAACACACAACAGTAGAAAATCACTTTGTTAATAAGGTTGCTATATCATCGATATGGTTGCTATAACTACGCAAGGTTGTCGTAACAAAGATAAAGTTGCCATACCGAACAACTCATACGCACCCAAGTGATAGCCCAAATTGTTCGTGCCGTGAGTGAAATCCATCGTAAGAGTGTCGCCCCAGCGCTCGAACATCAACTTCTGCACCTTTGTTTGCATCACGATACCGCATGTCACGTCCATTTGGTCTTGAATAACAAGGACGTCACTACCGTCTAACTGGCGGATAGGTTGCAGCATGTCTTTCAAACGGGCCTCCGCTGCGCCGTGCCCCATAATACTGCGGATCAGATTACGGGTCTGTTGAGGTGTTATTTTGCAGCCTAGCAAACACACAAAGCGCGAACAGTAACGTAAGTATCACTTCAGCATATCATATATAAAACTACGCACCGATTCTCTCATTCAGGAAGTTCGTGATGTGCTTGGAAGAAACACTAGCATCCGTTAAAGTCTTAACATCTTCGAGATCTTGCTCGTCCAACGGAAGTGTCTTTGTTGTCAGGTACAACGATGCTTGCGTTCGGTTGGTCGGGTGCGTGTGGGTAAAGTTCTGATTATCAACAGCGACATGTGAGAAATACTAACAAAGCAAACAAATACACGAACAGGCAGATACCTCGTTTCTTATGACAATTCGAAATTTTCCATTTTCCATCCGCTGAACGGTTGGTGTCTTGCGTGCAGGACACCCGCAATAGTTGCCTTTTCTATTGCGATGTCCCTTGGAGCGCGACGCTTGCTAAACACCGTGTGTACAGCGGAGGACCTTGTGACTCCAATTAAAACGTGAAGGGATTTGGTCCCGGTGATTGCTGCATATGAAAGGGGGTTTCGTTAATAACTTACATTTCTCATCAAACAGAGGTCACACATACCTGTTGTACTGATTTCGTGTCTCCGAGATTCGTACTCGAAACTTGAGGTGGTGCTTCTGCTTGTATATTTTCAAGTGTGCGTTGAACTTGCTCCAACTCTTTATAATCGCTGGGGTAAAGGGCGGAACGGGGTTGATAATTTCTTCGCGGTCCCCGTTGATCTCCCGCAACTCGTCAAGTGCTTGCTTGATCGCTTCCGCGGCATGTACTGCTTGTTCCGCTTGGATAAACGTGGGGCCGAATCAGCGTCGACAGACTCGTGAAGCTGCAGCTCCGCCTTACGCTTTTTCGCGAAAGATTGGGCTCCATCCCCAGCAGAAAGCTTGCATTTGGCCAGAGCGGTATCTATCGATTCCAAAGTGAATGTCAATATTAATGATAGCGCAACCTTTTTGCTTAAAGCAACTTTAACGAGAATACCTGGTGTTTTCTTGCGTGCTGTGGCTTTCTTTCTCGGCTCGGGGCTCTGTTTGCGTGTCCTGCGTTCTAAACAAACTAAAAAAATACACAATACATCATCACTTCAACTCAATAAGTATCAACAATAATCCAAACGAGTCTTACCCGCTTCTGCTTCGTCTTCTGTGCTGGATTCTCCGTCGATGTCTGCCTCCTCTTCATCGTCACTCGCCTCCTCTTCATCGTCGCCACCCTCCTCTTCGTCTTCCTCCTCTTGTTAGCAATCCTCCGCCTCTTCGTCGCCGTTGTCTTCCTCATTCTCCTCATCGAGAACAAAGTCTTCGTCTTCGTCGTCGTCTTTTTCAATCCCGAGAGCGGCGTACATGTAGTTTAGCTCCTCCTTTACGTTCCGCAGCTTTCGGCCTAAACAATACATACCGACAGAATTCAAACAAAATGTGAGGCACGTAGATACTCTCGTTGCAACCAACATGGAGCATACTGATTACCGTTTATAATGGCTCCCCCCGCAGGAGCCATCGGTCCCACCTCGCCGTTTGGTGCTTGACTCATTCGCGAGAGGTGCGTGTCCCACGTGGCCTCCGTTCAGCAGCGCGATTCTTAAAATGAGCGGCTGTGAGGTGGCGCACTTAATGGCATCGTAGCTAATCAGAAGCGCACTTTAGCGTGATTTGCGTACCTAAGGGCTTAATGGTAATTTAGACATTTAAATTACGCTCGTAATTTTTGAAATCCCTAAAAGCAACCATACATGTCTCAGAATGGCTAAAAGCAACCATACTTATGGTTGCTCAAACCACTCCCGGGGCGATTTGCACCACGGCACGGATTTGTCGCCATCTCGGCCTAGGCTCGGGATGACCTCATGTGGTTCCGCACGATTCTTGAGCAAGGCCGCCTTCGCGACGTACCCACCCATCTCTTTGGGTCTCTACCAACCCCTGACGTTCATTGCTACATGGACGCCAGCGATGACGGCTGCTGCGTATTGGACCCGGCTCGGAAGCGCTACATTGTGCTGCAGTTCACACCACAAGAGCGCCGATGGGTCTCAAGCCGCCACGCCAGCCGCGTTTCAATATCAACGCTCGGGAGGATAGCAGCAACAAATATGTTCTGCTTGGCAGCTCGACGACTACCAATAACCATAGAGGGTACTTTCTATCATGCATACAGATGTATGGGGGTTAAACGTGGTTCATTTGGTGTGATTCTTGCTTGATGAGCAAGATGCCGTATGGCAACCCCAACACGGGAAGGTGGGTCGGTTAAATCTGCTACGGCTCGCGGCTGAAAGGTAGGCTTGAATGCTTGGGCAGTGTGCTCTGTGATCAGTCTGAGGGGGGAACTCCAAAATGAACCATAAATCTTGGCGATGTCACTTGCATGGTACCGTGTACCAGTATCTTGTGTCGCAGATCTTCGTCCTGCTAGACGAGGGCTCCGCGAAGGCTGGGATAGGAGGTTTTTGGTATTATCGCTATTATTATGAGTTTTCTTTTTACGAACCACGGCATCTCCTGCGCCTGCTTCGCAGCCGCAGCGTCTGCCCGGTAATTCACCTCAAAACTGTAGATAGTGCTTATACACAGTGATAAAACGAACCTTGCTCGAAATCTGTTTGTAGCTTGTAGAAAATGAAAATGTTTACCTGTGTATGCTTCTGCAGCAGTTCGTCCGCTTCATTCACTTTACTTCCCTACTATTCGATATATGTTACTGACTCATACCGGTTCAATCTGCCCACGCATGTAAACCTTTTGGAGGGCCAGTGCGGCACCGCGGCCGTACAGGTGTAGTGGGTTTTCTACCAGTTCGGCTTGCCCACGCATATAAACCGCCCAGTGCGGCACCGGGGCCACACCGGTTTCAGGACAATGTACCAGTTAAGTGTCAAGAGGGGTCACCTTTTGACTTGACGTAACAGGATATAATCCTGTTTGGTCTGCGATAGCAGCACTAAGGACATCTCCACTCGGGCGTGCGATTGCTATTTAGGCGAGTAAATTACCGACCCATCTGTTTATAAAAGCTCAGATTGATCCACTCGGCGCTCTATTGCTATTTAAATCGATAAATTACGCGCTCGTGCGCTATTCGACTCGAGAATAGCACGCGTGGGCTGTCAATGGCGTCGAAGAAAACTGCCAAATCAGAATGAGGTTGACACATGAGAGCTAAGAGTGAATGGCATCGTTGCCTTCACAGCAAAGGCAACTCCCACGGCTGTAAAGAAGGTTTTGACGTACGAAAAAAAACAGAGGTACTAAGAACGTAGCGCTTCATGTATTATGCGTTGGCGTGATTTATGCTATGTGTATCTGCGTCTCATTGTCATTGAATGGGCGAGTACATGATCGTTATTCTACGACGGCTCTACTGTGAGTTGCATGGCGATAGCTCCGAAATGGCTCCAGCGAGTGGGTCTGCGATATTGTATTTCTATCGCTATTTATTTTCGACCAATCATAGAGAGCATCAATTCTTCGATAGAAATAGGATAGCACGCGCGAGTGGAGATGCTCTAACGTTGCTTCCTATCCCAGTAAAACACTTGTTCCTTCCTTCTTCCGCTTCACTCCATCCGCCTTGCTCCATACGTTACGCTCACGGCGTCCGGAAAACAACCTTATCCTCACGATGCTCTGGATGAGGTACTACGGTACTGCACGAGACGCAGTTGACCAAAGGTCAACAACCGCGATGAATGTGGTCACGACCACTGAAGTGATCATCTCTGCTTCACTTGATCTGCTCTTTGTTGGTGACTTGCGCGACACAAGTAGACTTTTGGAATGAGACTGTTGGAGTACCCCACCCGAAAGGGCTAAAACAACATGGTTGACCGCCTTGCTTCGCAATCCGCAGACACAATCTTTTTATTCCCCTTGCCGTAAATCTCGGATCGTAAAGGTTTTGGTCAGACGGATCAAAGATGAGTGTATGTATTCTGCAAACAGACTTGATGGTACGTTGTCGCGCTTGCATGGAAAACTACCTAATCTTGAATATAAAAGCGACTGTGCTACGACGAAAAGAGTAAATTTGTAGTTCACTGTCACTGCATGTAGACACGTTTGTATTGAGGAATTTATGGTCAATAACTGTGGAGCTGTACAAAACTAAAACTATAATTAAATATTGACAGAAAAGGGGTAAAATTTAGTTTTACTCACGACCGGTGGAGATGCTCTTAGAGCATGGATGCTCTTAGCAAGGTAAGACTTTCGTCATACAACAGCAAACAGCTACTACTCCTTCATAAGACCACCTTCTTGGCGTCATGACAATATTGGACAGCACAATGCAGAAAAATGTGGAACTAAACAGCACTAATCGTAACTAAACAGTTCAATCGTGTGCGCGGTTAGTGGTTGCATCCGTAATCAATTTAAGTCAACAACGGTTGCATGTACCATGGCATTAAAATATCCCTGCCTCTAGTACAAAATCGCACGGTCGATAGGAATGTCGAAGCGAGTCAAGTAAGCCTGTCGTCCATGTATTCCATTTTCAAATTGCGTCTTGAGTACCCACAATACCCCTCACCCTCACCCCCCTGAAGCTTGCTGTTGTCATCACGATTGCAGCCACCGCCGCTGCCTCGTCGGCACTGGCTTTCGTCGATTCCTCGGCTTCACCAGCTCCGAGAAAGCTCATCTTTGTTGCCGGGTACACGGGCCTTCCATGCGACGACACGCCGTGCTGGCCAGAGGACGCGCCTGTGTGCGGCTCCAATGGCATCACGTATGAAAATGCGTGCGAGCTGGACCTTGCCAAATGCAACGACTCAGGACTCAACGTCACACAGGTGTCCACCGGCGCGTGCCCCACTCAGTCTGAGTAGTTGAACCGACAAGCTTACCGTTCCGGCGCAGCAGTAACTCTGTCGCATCAATCAACTTTCTTTGAATTGAATTTGGAGAGTTGGCCTCATTGAGATTATTGTCACTTCGGGCAATTATATCGTTTGCCTTCTACAGTATGACTAATTCGCGTCGCGTTAGAGTTAGTTAGCTTTACAAGCTTTTTTTAATTCTGTTTATCGCTTCTACCTGTTCTTTGGCTTCAAGCAGAGGAACCGATACGATTGGGGGCGCCGATGTATCAGGCTAGCGACCCTCAAGCTACTTAGACAAGACAATGGTAGAGGCCATTGCCCTGTGGGTCTATCAGCTACTATTACAACATTAACCAGCCCACAACTACGGTAGAAGCCCCTCTTCACCAGCTACGTCGGGCTAGTATTATTATGCAACTAGTGCGTGGAGCTACGATAACTTCACTTTATCGTTCGTCAGGCGAACAGCTACGGATCCGCGAGCGCGCTCATGAGGTTTTAGCTGCTTGTGGTCGTTCCCACAAGCAGTTCTCGCGCTCGGTTTGTGATATGCCTGTGCTTGCAAGTGGACTCTTCAATGATGAGTCCTTACCGTAATCATGCGCAATATTGAAGTATCTTGGGATCTAACTCGTACGCGTCGTCGATATGTTATTCAGTCTTGTGGGTGTGCCTTCTTTAGAGACTCGCTTGCAGACAATGTCGTCTGGTGGTATTATGGTATGTTTAGTGTCGACCGACATCATGGCAGATCGGGCGCAGGTAACAGCTACTTCACGTTGATATTGATCTGAGGTGAACGTCGTGCTAAGTGCGACTAGATGGACTGCAACAGCGATGTTTGCTTGACCTGCCTGTAGCCGAGCGGGCGATTACTTGACCTATCCCCAGGACACTGTGCTCTTCAGTAAGTAAGCTACGCTGATCAACTTCAATACAGTCTGTGTCGCTACTTAGTGCGCTCGATAGCATGTCTTCAACTTCGACAACAAGGGTCATAGTTGAACTTCCCTGGAGAAGAAAGCAGCAACAACCCGGCCTTCAAGCACAACAACAACTGCACCGTACCAACGATGGCTGACTCGACCGCTGACAAGACTGCGCCTCGCATGCCCTACTGCTTCTTGGGCAAGTCTGGCCTCCTAGTCTCCAAGCTCGCTCTCGGCAGCTGGATGTGGGCCGACGACAAGTACACACCCGAGCGCTGGTACGACATGATGAAGCTCGCGTTCGAGCGCGGCGTCAACTTCTTCGACAACGCCGAAACGTACGGTAACGGGCAGGCGGAGCGGAACATGGGCGCCGCGATCCAGATGGGCATCTCAGAGGGCGTCTGGAGCCGCGAGGACCTGGTGGTGACGACGAAGGTGTTCGGGGGCTCCAAGGGGTGGCTCGAGGGCGGCCCCAACGACCAAGGCGCGAGTCGGGAGCACATCATCGAGGGAACCAAGGCGTCACTGGCCAGGCTGCAGCTCGACTACGTGGACGTCATCTTCTGCCACCGGTCGGAGCTGTACACGCCCATCCAGGATACTGTCCGAGCTATGAACTTCGTGCTCGACCAAGGCTGGGATTTCTACTGGGGAACGAGCCAGTGGTCGGCGGCCGACATCGTCGAGGCGTGCGAGATCGCCGACCGCCTCGGCCTTGTGCGGCCGATCGTGGAGCAGCCCGAGTACAATCTGCTGGAGCGCAGCAAGGTGGAGCTGGAGTTCTCGTCCTTGTATTAGAAGTACGGGCTGGGCCTCACGACGTGGTCGCCGCTCTCGTTCGGCACGCTCACGGGCAAGTACAGCGCCGGCACGCCTGGAGGTTCCAGGCTGGACATGTCGGGGCTGAAGGCCGCGATCCCCAACTTCGAGGCGCGCGTCGAGAAAGCTGATCGCCTCAAACCTGTGGCGGCGGACCTGGGGTGCTCCTTGGCGCAGCTCGCCATCGCCTGGTGTCTCCTCAACGACAAGGTGTCGACTGTGATGATTGGCGCGAGCTCGCCTTCGCAGCTCGAGCAAAATCTGAAGGCTCTGGAGGTGGCGGATAGCTTCAAGCCCGATGTGATGGCCAAGATCGAGACCCTGGTGCCGCTGGAGGCCAAGGAACCGATGCCGGACATGCTGTCGGGGGTCCGAGGACGCCATTTGTTTTGGATGGTGCACTTGTTGGTCCGTACGGCCTGGAGCCACCACTAGTAGGAAAAAGGAAAAAGATTGAATGGCTGAGCCTCCCAGCTCTTACCACTACTCTCGGGCTTGAGCCCGTTTCTCATGCAACGACCCGCAGCTCTCAGCCTGCTAATTTTCTCAGGTACCTAGCCTCAGCTTTCGCCCGGGTCTCAACTCTGACCTTCAACTTGGTCTTCAATGTGCATTCCAACACGCCTCCCTCGAAGCATGAGCTTCGACTAATCCGCATCACCAATGCCGGCCAGCCCCAGCATGTTCTGCAGACGCAGCTTGTCGAGCGGCTTCGTGAAAGTGTCAGCGGGGTTCACCTCGCCTCTTATCTTGTGCAGTTCAATCACGCCTCGTTCAACTTGCTCACGCACAAAGTGCCAGCGCAACTCAATGTGTCGGGTGCGACGGCTGTAGGTAGGATTCGTAGCCATGATGTGCGCGGCTTGGTTGTCGATACCAATGCGCAGCTTCAGACACTTGTGTGGCAGTATTTCCTGCAGAATGTTGCTTTCTGCAACTGCCTCCATTGTCGCTTCACAGGCGACCACGTACTCTGCCTCAGCCGTAGATAGAGCGACGATGGATTGGCGTCTCGACATCCAGGATACCGCCCCACCAGCCAGCGTGAACACGAAACCTGCCGTGCTTTTGCGGGTCTCCGGGTCGTTGGCCCAGTCACTGTCGCAGTAGCCCTCAAGCACCACAGTCTTCGACTCGCTCGACTGTCGGTCATACGTAATTCCATAGTTCACGGTACCTGCGAGGTACCGTAGGACTCGTTTCAGAGCCCCAACATGCTTGATGGATGGCTTTACTACACAGCGACTCAGCTGGCTCAGTGAGAACGCCAAATCAGGTCGGGTACTAGTGGCCAGATACATTGACATACCCACTGCCTCTCGATATGGAAAGCTGGTGTCGCTTTCTTCATCATCACCAAGCGGCACGAGGCGAGCATTCACCTCCATCGGGTTCCCAACCGAGTGTGCCTCAGCGTAGCCAAACTTCTCCAAAATTTCTCGAGCGTACTTGCTCTGGCGGATGATGAAGCGGTCAGCGGTTTGCTCCACTTCCACCCCGAGGTACTGCGTCAAAAGTCCCTGGTCCTTGAGTCCGTACTCCTTGTCCAGGTCTTCGAACAACTTCTCCTTCTGCTTTTCATCCTTGGTCGCCACCAAGATGTCATCCACATAGACCAAAACCAGCATGATCTCCTCACCTTCAACATGATAATACAGGCAGGGTTCAGTCAAAGACCGTTGATAGCCACGATCCAGCATCCACCGGTTCAACTCGGTGTTCCATTCACGTCCAGACTGTCTTAACCCATACAATGCCTTCACTACCACGTAGATGTGCCCATCCACTTCACAGGGGAACCCCTCAATCGACCTCACATACTGTCGTATTCCTAGCTTCGCGTTCAGGTATGCTGTATTGATGTCTCCGCCATAGAGCGTCAGATTCAGTGCTCCTGCTAGTCCAACCATCAAACGAAACGAAGACATACGAGCCACAGGCGAGAACGTATCACCGAAATCGATTCCAGGGCGCTGGTAGTTGCCAAGTGCAACCAGCCTCGCCTTAAAGCGAATTACGTAGCCTTGGTGGTCCGTCTTGATATCGTACACGAATCTCGTCTTGATTGGCTTTGCGTCCTTGGGCACGTCCTCGATGGCGATCTCCTCCAGAACATGTTGTGCTCTCATCGCAGCCATCTCCTCCAGCTCTGCCCTTATGAAAAACTCCCGGTACTTGCTACGTCGAGGCTCCCTGCGGTTGCGAGGAACGCGTACATCACTTGCTCGGATCGGACGGCCATTCTGATCCAACACCCGTGACGTGTTCTGCGTCACATTCATCACATAGTCCCGCAAGTAGGCCGGGCGCCGACGCTCATGATACTCGCGCAGCCCAGTGCGCCGAGTTCGCTTTGGCTCCTGCCTCTCAGCACTCTGCTCTACACGAATCTCCTCAGAAGGGGTCTCGTCACGTTGACGTTTCCCCATCAATTTTCCACAGACACTCGCAACAGTAGTCGCTTCCTCATCGTCAAGTTCCTCTTCAGCAGCCACTGCATTTCCATCATCAAGTTCCTCCGTGTCGCCTACGTCAGATCCATACTGACCAGCAACCGACTCACTACTGTCACAAGATGCAGCATCGGACGTTGCAGCAACATCGTGTTTGGGTGGTGAATCCATAGTTCCAGGTGAGTCTATCACGGATGAGTGCTGCTCCGGTTCCGTGTCATCACTCGGACAATCATCCTGACTCCCAGTCAAAAGCTCACTCTGCAACTCACTCTGCAATTCATCAAGCTCACACTGCGTTTCTGTCTGCGTACTTCGTATTTCTGCAGGCTCACTGGGTAGTGCTGCCGTCACTCCACCAACATCCACCACACTGCTAGCTGGTGTCGCTCGAGACGCCTCCCTGGTATCTGTGCGTGAGCGGCCACTGCCACTCGGAAGTGCACTCAAATCTCCACTTGCCTCTGCGTTTGGAGCTGCACTTGCGCTTGGAGCTGCACTCGGAGCGCCACACATCTCGCCTCTCTCGAGATCCACGGTCGGTCCGGCCATGGTCTCGTGCACCGATGGCGCGGCGGCAGTATTGCCTTCTGCTTCCAACTCCATAGTAGACTCATAGAGTGTCGAGACAGCGTCGTCGTCCTCGACGATCTCACCAGATTGTACAAAGTGCAAAGAATCCAAGTCATCTTCCTCCACAGTTACTTCATGTCTGTCGCGGCACATCACATCCTCTGCAACACGGAGGTCCGACACAAATTTTGCTGTGCGATTGTCCGGGAAATACACCTTACAGCCTATCACGTCCTCAGCGTAGCCGAGTACGAAACCCAAGCTGGCATTGTCATGGTGCTTCTTCCTTCCTGGTGTGACTGGTACGTGAACGTATGCGAGCGCCCCAAACTTGCGTACGTGATGCAAGTCAGGTTTTACACCAAACAGCATCTCATACGGGACCCCACCTGTGCCTTTGATGTAGATGCGGTTCTTTATATACAGCGCGTTCCGTAGAGCCTCAGGCCACAGACTCTTAGGAAATCCAGGATCGTGCATCGACGCCTTCATCATCTCCACGAGAGACTGATGAGTCCGCTCGCATAAGTTCAGCTGCGAACTCTTTGGGCCAACCAGAACATGCTCGATACCATGAGCCTTATACCACAACTCCATCTCCGTGTTAACAAATTCACCACCCTTGTCTGTCAGGATTGGGCAAACATTGTATTTGACGTGGAGCGTTCTCGTCAAAACTTGACGAACCTTGTGTCGACCAGCTTGTCTTTCTGCCCACAACACATATTCCTTGATGTGTCGTGTCACCATTTCGCTAGACTTACACGTAAGCAGGTGCAGCGTCACGAATCTGGATCAGCAGGTCCGCGTAGACCACTTGGTTTGGCGTTTTCGTGTTCCGCTCGAGCTTCTTTAGGTGCGGCTTTTTCTTTTGCTTGCCGATATGGCACGCGTCACAGGCACCAAGGTCGCGCTGCTTCATCAGCATGCCACGTACGAGCCCTTTGTCGACCATTACCTTCAAATACTGAGGGCAAGTGTGACCCAGCTGCTCATGCCACAGCCTGAGCGATGCCACACCGTCCGCAGCCGTGAAGTTGCTCAGAAGCTGGTCCTGCGGTCCGACGATATCACCATTAAACGAGTGGGTAACCTGGAATCCCCACGTTGCCTCATGTGGACTTGCCACAATCACTGTCCTCCCTTCATCTTGCTGGCACTCGAAAGTCCCGTGACTGACGATGATAATCAAAATCAAAGCCCTGTTCAGCAGCTAGTCCAATGGAAAACAATCCGTGCGTAGCACCAGGCACGTAAAACATATCGTTCAGAGTCACTGTAGCTTGTTCGCCATCAACCATAGTAACCAGCGCTACCGTGCCTACTCCAGCAATTCACGATGCCAAAGCAGCCGTCACGCCTTGAATATGCTGGGACTGACTCGGATCCGGAGTAAAGCCAACATAGTACCAGGGGTTTCCTGTCACGCGCACGTTCGCGGCGGTGTCGAAGTACCACCAGCCACTGCTGGTATTTGCTTCGCCTTCGTCATGGTCTTGGCCGTCATGCCACCAGCCAACATGCGCGTGAGAGGCATTCCCTTCCTGTTCTTCTTCATCCTCCGATGTCGCTAGTCTCTCAGCATCACCAGAATCAGCTGACAACCCTGCATCAATTATCAGAGCGTCCAGCCGACTCGCCGACTCGCCAAGCTCATCGTTCTCGCTGGACGAATCTGCGTCACGGCTCGCATCGTACCGAGTCGTCATGTTCGCACGTGGTTTCCGCTTCTGCTCATTAGCATTAGCTCCGCCCCCGTGGTTGCCCTCCACTCGATCATGACACGCAGCCCTCAAGTGTTTGGTGCTCCCACATTGAAGCACTTCTTGGGTCTTTTCTTCTTTGAGTCCTTAAATTTGCCACCCAGTTGTTGGTCCTCACCATTTCCAGTTTTCACCTTACTGCCAGCCCCGCTAGTCACACCAATCTTCTGGTTACCGCGTTGTCCAGTCCCGCTCTTGGCCTGGTATGCCTTTGACGAGAGTCCGCAACACGAATCAGCTCGCAAGTCCGCTCTGGCGTGATGAAGTTATCTGCGCTGTTGTAGCGCACTCCACTCTTCAGACTCTCAAATCGTATTGGTGCGTCAAGCTGTTCAGCATCAGCTCAACCATGGCGACATCATCAAACTGGTAGTTCAACGAAAGCAACTCCGTCCGCAAATTAAACATCTTGCTTAAATGCTTGTTAACATCTCCACCCGGTGACAGCTTAATCATCTCCAGCTCATGCCGGATGCTCTCTGCGCGATGAGCCATGGTCGTCTTGTTTGACCGGCTCTCGTAGATCACGCAAAGCGCCTTCCACATGTCCGTCCCGGTGGTCTTGTCGCGCACTTGGTGAAAGATGTCCGCTGGCAGCGACATCCCGATGATCTGCATGATCGTCAACTGCTTGTCGTCGAAGTCG